CTGGTATTCTTCTTTCCTTCATGAAATCTGTGTTCCTATCTGTTATCGTCTGTGTTCATTCTGAGGAGCCTTCTTTATAATTCCTTGTAGTGTATGATGACTTCAAATGAATCTGTCAGCTCTAATTAATCTGAAAATACCTTTATTCTAGGGCTGGGGATGTGGCTCAAGCGGTAGCGCTCTCGCCTGGCATGCGTGCAGCCCGGGTTCGATCCTCAGCACCACATACAAATAAAGATGTTGTGTCCTCCAAAAACTAAAAAAATGAATATTAAAAATCTCTCTCTCTCTCTTTAAAAAAAAATCCTGCTATGATAACTTCAAATGAATCTGTCAGCTCTAATTAATCTGAAAATACCTTTATTCTATCCTGTTTCACTGATTTGAAATGCTCAGTTGATGGTATTTTTCTTCCAGCCCCTTAAAAATGTCATTCTGTATCTTTTGGCTCCCATTATGGTGAGGAGAAGTTAATGTTCTTTATATTGTTTACTCTTGTATGTATGCATTGTTTTCAGCCTTCTTTAAAGATTTTCTCTTTATCTTTGATCTTAAGCGGTTTGACCATGATATGCCTAGATATGAATTTGTTTGTATTTATTCTCTTTGGAGTTTTTGAACCTTTGGATCTGGTAAATGGTGTTCTTTGTTAACCCTTGAATCCCAAGTTTACAATTCTAAGACTATAATAAATATTCAGATATGATTTCAGAGTTACCAGATTTTTTTATTTGTTGCTCAATTTAAGTTTTTATAGATGTTCTACATCTGGGATGATGAGACAAAATGAGTTCAACTTAGAAATTTTTAGCTATTTTTTAGAGATTTTTTTTTCAACATCAAACTATTTATGGGGCTCCCATTATATATATGTTAGATTATCTGATATTGTTTCACAACTATGTGATGCCATATTTTTCTTTCTTTAACCATTTGTTTGTCAAATTGGTAATTTCTAATGCTCTGTCAAATGCGTGAAGTATTTTTTTTCCCCTTCTATCTCTAGTCTGCAGTGATACTTCCACCTACAGTTAGGTTCATTCAGTGTGTGTGTGTGTGTGTTTGTTTTCATTTGAGTTATTCAACTATTCATTCCTACAATTTTAATCCCCCACCTTTTTTTTTTTTTAAATTACTGGGGATTGAACCTCAGGTTTCATGCATGCTTGGCAAGTATTCTACCACTGAGCTACATCCCTAGTCTCCTCTTGTTATTTTTTTTTTGGGGGGGCGGTGCGTGGATACCATGATTGAACTCAGGGACACTCAACGACTGAACCATATCCCCAGCCCTATTTTTTTTTTGGATTTTATTTAGAGACAGCATCTCACAAAGTTGCTTAGAGCCTTGCTTTTTCTGAGGCTGGCTTTGAACTCGTGATCCTCCTGCCTCAGCCTCCCAAGCCACTGGAGTTACAGGCATGTGCCACCAGACCCAGCCCTCTTTTTTTTTTTTTTTTATAGTCTCAATTCTTCTCCTGACAATTCCTATCTAGTCACATATTCTTCTTTAAAAATGTTCCCCCCACCCCGGGCCATATTTATAATATAGATATACTTATATTATATTATATATAATATATAATATATAATATATAATATTCTTTGGGCCATAATAGTTGTGCTAATGATTTTGCTCAATGTAATATTTGGGCCATCTTAATTTCTAATGAGATCTTTTTGCTTACAAGCCACATTTTCTTATTTCTCTGAATGTCTAGTAATTTTTAAATTACTTATTGGACTGTACTGATGATATACTGTAGAGATGCTGTGTTAAACACACACACACACACACACACACACACACACACACATATATGTTTTTATTTTAGTCAGCAACTTTGTTACTGTCTGATCACCTTCTATAGGTTTAGTTTTAAAATTTGTTAGGACAGATCTGTGGAAAGCCCAAGGTAATTCTCAGGCCCCTTTCACTTAACAAGAGTCATCCTCAGATTCTTCTTTCAATGTGGATATCATTAGAGCTTGGTTTTTAGGCTTTGATAATATTGGTGTACAGTAGGCTTTATGTGAGGGTGTGACTTTTGCTCCTAAGTTGAGGGCCATTTCAAGGTGAAGCCCAAGGTGTTAATGAGTTCTTTTCCCTCTGGCTAAGTTGGACTGCCAACGTTTCCTTATACTGCTTTGACCTCCAGTATTTCTTTATCATTTTAACCTTATTGGAGCCACTTACTTGTATTCCTCCTACATTTGGCTGAGGACTCTCAGGAAATCTTGTAAACCTCTCTGGCCTCTCTGCATAGCTTCCTTCTCCCCAGTGCCCTTGTCTGTGCTGTACTTGGACTTCAGCTTGTCATGCTACATAGTGACTGAAGGCAGAGAATCAGAGTGATTGTGGGCTCACCTTTTCCTTCTCTCTGAAGTCACATTTTATTTTGCCTTCTACAGTATGTGAAACAGTTGCATCATTTTGTCTAGTTTAATATTTATGAAAGAAAAAATAATCTAGAAAAAATTACTCTGTCATATTGGAAGTAGAAGTCTCCCACAGAAATTTTAAGGGGTTGAAGTAAACTTTAGTGGTAATTTAAAAGGGAAAGTAAACTTTTTCTTTCTTTCTCTTTTCTTTTTTTTTTTTTTTTAAAGGAGTCTCACTATGTTGCCCAAGCTGGTGTTGAACTCCTAGTCTCAAGTGATCCTTCCACCTCAGCTTCTGAGTATCTAGGACTATAGGTGTGTACTCACACCCAATTGGTAAAGTGAATCTTGGTCTCTTATGATTAGAGTGAAAAAAAAAGTAAAATGAACTTATGATGCTCATAGAATGAATCATTTCTCTGTAATCATTCTGCCTCCCACCACTAGTCACCTGTTTACTTCTCTCTTCACAAAGGAGACAAATTGAGTTCTGATACAGAAGAAAGCACGTAGAGAGATGCATAAGGGAGCATAATCGTCACACATTAGGCAAAAAGTTAAAGGGCTCCTAGACCTTTTTTTTTAATAACAAAATAAGCAGCTAAATTATAGCACTGTGCCAGGTACTAAAAAACTACCATAGAACATTTCTAAACAGTAAGAGTTCATTTAAAAACTTTTAATAAAGGATTTAAGTATAACAGTTATTTGCTCTATTAATTAAGTAAATGGCCCCAAATCAACTAAATTATCAAACAAAATAAACTTTGTCATAAGAAGCTGAAAATTGTTGGAAGCTTAGAAGTTTATTCTCAAAAGCGGGGTGTTGTAACCCCCTTCCATTTTTAGACCATTCACAGGATATGGCACAAATCCACAGCTAGAAAATGATTAAATTTTTTTCAAAGAAAACTTTAAAATAGTATTTCCTTTACAAAGTTCATGATGGAGAAGAGATAAGAAAAGGCACTCTCAGTGATACTCCCCAAAGCAGAAATGGATAAGGTAAAAAGGAAAAGAAAATTTGTTTTTGAAAGGTAATAAAGAAAAAGGGAAAATAGACAATAACTTCATTTATATTCTAGCAAGGTAAGCTGAGTTATGCAATAATAGGTGTTCACTAGATGAACTGGGGTAGCAAGGAGAAATAATATTTAGGCAGAAGGAGCAGAGAAAAAAAGATGCATGAAGGTTAGCATGTACTGGCAACATCCAGGGAGGGGATGTGAGAATGTGCTTTTCTTAATAAGGTAAAATATGATGTGGCTGCTGCTGGTCTGTATATCATGCTCTGAGTAGCAAAATTTTACCCTGATATTTATCAGTACTTCATTTCATTAAATACGAGTTGACCTTGTTTAGTTACTAAGTTGTCACCTTTTATTGAATTGAGTGGCAGGATGCATTATAATAAAATTTGAAATCATAATTTTTAAACTTGGGCTCAAATATTAGTATTATGACTAAATCACTATATAGCTATGAAAATAAATCAACCCATTTCTGTTCTCTGTTTTCTCATGTCTGAAATAGAATGCTTGCCACTTCATATAATTGTTGTTAGTCCTAGAAATGATATGTGTAAGTGCTTTGTAGGGAAAGGATGATTCAATTTGATAACTTCTTAAAAGCTGAAATTTTATGATTTAGAATAAAGTACAGTGAATGGTCTAATCCTAAAAAGTATTGATATATGATGATTATTTACCCTTTTTCTTTTTGAAGGGTATCACTTTTCTCAGTGATTCTTGGCAAATTGGAGAGATGGTTCTTTGTAGTTTTTGAAAGCTTCCACTACTTTCCTACCCCAAGACTCACTAATACTCATGGTGTAGTATGGCTATTGCAGATGGGAGTATTTTGTACTTCTGAATGTTTATACAAGTGTGGAAAACAGGTTGACTTGTAGTTTTATCTGATATTTAGAGATTTTTGTCATATAATTTTTATTACTTCTTGCTTATGGAAATTTTCCATATAACTTGCTATTTTCAGTTTGGTATGGGACAAGAATAGCCCTCTTCTGGGGGGCAGAGGACAATAGTCCATCCTGTTCACCACTGGAGCCTAGAAATAGGGTGACCAGTTTGTGTTACTCCCCAGGAGGAATGAAACTCAGGGAGGGAAGAGAGCAACAAAGACCTTGAAAGGAGACTCAAGGTTTTGGGGGCAGGAATTCTGGGGTCAAGGTGGTTCAAACCCCAGAAGAAGGGCATGGACTGTAGGTGGGTACATCCCTTTGATCCTGTTGACTCCTGGCCCTGTGGGGATAGACACAACCAGGCAGGCCAAAGCAGCCACTCTAAAGCCTGGAACAGGGGCCCAGGTTGTTGGGTAGGAATATATGAAGAAAATTAATCTGTAATGTCAGCTGTATTTTTTTAATTTTAGCCTATTAATTTATTTGCTTTATACTGTGGAATGTTTTATTTATGTGTGGGTTTTTAATTAATGACTCAAGGAGGTCACAAGCATCTTATTTAATTCAGTAGCTCTGAAATAGAAATAAGTCTTAGTAAGTTAAAAATATCTTACATTAAATATGTTTTTGCTAAAAAACATCATACTATAAACTTTGTTCCTTAACTCTATGCCTGTCCTTATGTTTGGATTTTTAGATCGACTTCAGCTCCCCAGGAATATGATTGAAAATAGCATGTTTGAGGAAGAGCCAGATGTGGTGGACTTAGCCAAAGAACCTTGTTTACATCCTCTAGAGCCTGATGAGGTGGAATATGAGCCCCGGGGTTCCCGACTGCTGGTGCGAGGTCTTGGAGAACATGAGATGGACGAGGATGAAGAGGATTATGAGTCATCTGCAAAACTACTGGGCATGTCCTTCATGAACAGAAGCTCAGGCCTTCGGAACAGTGCAGCTGGCTATAGGCAGAGTCCAGATGGGGCCTGTTCAGTACCCTCTGCAAGGACCTTGGTGGTCTGTGTTTTTGTCATTGTGGTTGCTATCTCTGTAATCATGGTGATTTACCTACTGCCTAGATGTACCTTTACCAAAGAAGGCTGCCATAAAAAAAATCAGTCAATGGAACTAATTCAGCCAGTTGCAACAAATGGGAAGTTATTTCCTTGGGCACAAATTAGGCTTCCCACTGCCATTATGCCACAGCGCTATGAACTTCACCTACACCCAAACCTAACCTCAATGACTTTCAGGGGTTCTGTGACAATTTCAGTTCTGGCTCTTCAGACCACATGGAATATCATTCTTCATAGCACAGGTCATAATATTTCAAGAGTGACTTTAATGTCAGCACTTTCAAGTCAAGAAAAAGAAGTTGAAATCCTGGAATATCCATATCATGAGCAAATTGCCATTGTTGCCCCTGAAGCCCTTCTAGCAGGACACAATTATACCATGAAGATAGAATATTCGGCAAATATGTCTAGTTCTTATTATGGGTTTTATGGTGTCAACTATACAGATGAAAGCAATGAGAAAAAGTATGTAGCCTTTTCTATGCTGTATGATGACTTCAGCAATATGGATCCCTTTTCCACAACAGACCTATTAACTGAAATTTTTTTTTTTAATTTAAGAAGTTAGGTGCCCAATAGAATGGTGGTTTGGGAAAATATACCATTACTCTTTGGCAAAGCTTTGAGCATATATCATCGTGGGGTGCGGGGTAGGAGTTTGCTGATGGAAGGGGATGGATAAAGTTTTTGTCAGTTATATTCTGTATCATAAACCTTAAGTTATCTTCAGCTTTTACTGGTTTACTTATTCTATGATTCTAATTTTCTATCACCCTATGAAGTCTCTATAGGAAGCAGAATAAAGAGGAAAATGGATTATTCTTTAAGACCTATGTGCAGAATTTTTAGGACATGCTTAGTCAGATGGAGAAAGAGGACACAAAGCATGGTATGCTTATATATGCAATTTTTAGTACCCTTATCTTTACTGGTTTACTTTTTAAAGAAAATTCTAGTTTGACTATTGGATTCTGATGGAAATTTTTTAAAAGTTTAGGAGACAAAACATAAAAGTATTCAGCTACTTATTTGGATGATATATTTCTCCCTTTAATTCATAGCATATAGCTGGAATTTCCAAAAAGATAGATTTCACACTGTATATAGGTTATTCATAAATGGTTATGTCAGTTCTCTTATGTGCACAAAGTCTTTGTCATATCTGCTCAATGCAATTGGAGCATTCTCTCTATTACTTTGTGTACCAGTATATGAATTACTGATGTAGGCAATTTGGCTAATGTTCCTTGATGTATTATGAGAAATAGTTAGAAATGAATATTTTGAACCTATCTTAAGAAAACTTTTTGATCCTTCTCAAATGAGGAAACAGGCAAAGCAGTATCTGTACTTCTCTTCAGTAAGTAATTTTAGTTTTTCTTTCTATATAATACTTTTTTGGGAGAGGAGGGTACCAGGGATTGAACTCAGGGGCATTTGACCACTGAGCTACATTCCCAGCCATGTTTTGTATTTTATTTAGGAAAAGGGTCTTACTGAGTTGTTTAGCACCTTGTTTTTGCTGAGGATGACTTTGAACTTGCAATCCTCCTGTCCCAGACTCCCAAGCCACTGGGACTATAGGCGTGCCCACTTTCACAGCTTTATATATAATACTTTTAAAATAAATGACAATTCTGTTGCTACATTTCAATTCATATATTTGACATTGAACAAAAATTTATAATTGAAGTGGCAGTTTGGAGTTCTTGATTTTAGTCCCCTTTTTATAGTCATCATCATCCCTAAGAAATATAGGATGTACATAAAAAGAATGACTTAGTGTGCAAGCCCCTAACCATCTTATCTGATTAGATCATTGCCTCAGAGTCCTTGGGCCTATTACTGTATGATGGGAAGCATGAATGTTGTGTAGCAGAGTAAGGTGATTTTGGGTATGACTATTGACTCTTACCATGGACTGGTTGTATTGAACTTCAAGTGCACTTTCCTGAAAATCCAATGATAAACAAATCCATGTAGAACGTGCTAGAAAAATGGAGGTTTCTCAAAATTAAAAAATACAGTATTAAAATAGTATTTTAAAGTCTTAAAATAAATTAGCCACTGTGATACATTGCTTCCCTAGTTTACACCTCCTTTGTACATTGTTATCCCTAGCGCTTAGAATTCTCTTACCTGACCACCACCTAATTTGTTAATTGTTTTGAGCATTACTTGAGGAAGCTCTGAAACCACTATTATAAAAATGTAGGTTCATTAACATACCTGTTAGAGTAATGAAGGCCCTACATGATATCTTGGTAAAGGTACAAGTTTAGAAGATTATTTATACCTTTTAATATTTTATTATTTATACATTTTACTTATAATTCTGAGCAGTTTTTCTTTTTCTTTCACTTTTGATTATGCTTAGTTCTACTGGAAAAGTTTTTATACTTTCTTCTCTTTGAGGTATAATTAGAAAAAAATATTTAAACTAGTAGATAAAGTAATTAAGATATATATTCCTTGATTAGAAAATCAGCATGTATGTAACACCATGTATGGCCACTATGTGTGGTAAGGAAACTACCTGTGTGCTCTAAGTAGGGGACAGTGAGTAGTAACCTTGCAGTTAAACAGAAATTGTTGATGACAGACTTAAGATTCTAGGTGACAAAATGATACTAAAAGAACTAGCAGACAAATTTAAGATGGAAGTTCTTTTGTTCGTTTCTTCATCCTTCAGTCTTTTTCTTGAACTCTTGAAGCATCCTCTTAACAGATCTCCTGATCTGTAATATTACTATAATCTTCCCCACAACCCCCATTTTTTCATACTAATGTTGATTTGTTCCTATGCTTACTCATATTTCTGTATTTGTTTCTATAAGTTTAGATGACCATCCTGATCTTTGGCTTATAATCCTTCAGCAGTTCCTCATTTCTAAAGTGGTTTAGTTCAAGGCCTTTCATTTCTGGCCCTTGTTTTCCTCACAGCTCTTACCTGCTATATTAAACTTCGTGTGCACTTTCCTGAAAATCCAATGAAATAAAAGCCAATATTTACTGAGAGCTGAAGTGCAGAAACTGTTGCATTATCCCCTTATCCTCTTATCCTTTCAACCCCACTAAGAAGTAGATATTAACATATTCATTGTATAACTGAAGAAAATGAGGCACATAAAGCAACTCATTTGACATCTATGGCTAGCAGATGGCAGAGTGGGAACTAAAAACCAATGTCATTTGAATGACAGAGGGACATTCTTAGCCACTGTGATATATTGCTTCCCTAGTATACACCTCCTTTGCACATTGTTATCCCTAATACTTAGAACTCTCTTATCTGACCACCACCTAATTTGTTAATTGTCTTGAGCATTACTTGAGGAAGCTCTGAAACTAACTTTCTGAAAGCAAACATAGTCACCAATAAAAGAATGTGCTTCAAAGTATTCAGCCTATATAGAACAGATTATAATATCATCAAGAAGCAGCTTTCTCAAAGAGACTTTTGTATGAGATAGTTATTATTCCATCTCTTTTAATAGTAATCTAAGGTTTTATTTGTCTTAGAGTGTTATGATTTAATTTTAATCTATAAGTAGGCTCTTGTCTAAATAGTAGTAGAGATAACATAAAACTTTATTCCCTGGTCCCTTGTGGTCCTTCTGTTAACTAGGTAAGAACATTGGGGGCAGGGTAAAGAAATGGAATGTTAGAATGCTGATATGTTTATATTGTTTCACATATGTTGATTGCTATCTTTTTTGCAGCTTACCCAATTAGAAACAGTCATTTGGGCACACACTTACCAAGAAAAAAATACAGTAATTTTAAGTGTGGAAGAAGAATTGTGGTGATCTAGTATTTTTAATAAATATTAATATAGGACTTTGTGGATATAAATAGTTTTTATTATGATTAGTCTTATGTAATTTTCTCAAATACCTTGGGTGTTTGGAAGGGAATCCTGTCACTGATTTGCCCAAAGTTACATAGCTGGGAAATTGTAGAGTTTGGGTCTTCAGACTCCACTTTCCACACTGTTCCTTTTTTACTTATCATCTGACAGTGAAAACTAAACCCCAAACAAGAAAGGTTGCTACACAGTGGCTGTACATATGCCTTATGGCCTGGGAATGCACCACAGGGGCATACTTGCCCTGATTGTTTTATGGCCATTTGGATAATCTCCCAAATGGAGATTTGCTTTATTTCTCTACCTAATTGGAAATCTGCATTTTCCCCCCTGTGTCTTTTTATACTTTCTTCCCAGCCTATAATTGAGGACTTTATATGCGTCATAGCCTTAATAGTTGCTACTGTGTGGGAGGGAGGAAATTTTTGATTCATCTCTGAGAGTAAAGGAAACCATAATACTACAGGACAGCTAGATTTTTCAGTCTTGATCAGGATGTAACCTGTGAACTTGAAGTTTAGTTTGGTGAAGCCAAAGTCTGTACAAAAGATTAGTGGCAATTAATGACAACCCTTCATATTGATCTTCCATCAGACACCTGTCCAAGACCTCCATGGCCAGCTGCAGCCTACCTTCCTGGCTTCATTTCTAACTACACTCAGCAGCTGCCCTAGTCCATGGACATACCTGCTCTCTTTCCTTGTGCTGCCCATTCTTCCTTGAGTCTACTCTCTTCCATTTTCTGCCTGCTCAAATATCCATGTTTTAAGGCCCTCTTCAGACTTTGTACCAGTTTCCTTAGAGTGTCTTTAGCCACTAGTCAGAATTTGTTTCCTACCCCTTGTCCCATTGCTTTGTTTTTACTGCCAGGACATGATTTACAACTTGATATGCTTCTGTGTATTGTATAAACCTCTGCCTCTCCTAGTTGATTATGGGTCCTTTAGGGACTGGATTGTACCATATTTATCTTAACACCCCTAGTACTTGGCAGGATGCCTTTGTATAGTAGGTGGTCAATAACTTTTGGATTGAATTTGCATTTTTTTAGGTACTTTGCAGCAACTCAGTTTGAACCCCTGGCAGCAAGATCTGCTTTTCCTTGCTTTGATGAACCAGTGTTTAAGGCCACATTTATCATCAGGATCATAAGGGATGAGCAATACACTGCTTTATCAAATATGCCTAAGGTACTGTGTGTTCCTTGAATGAAAAATTTTTGCTCTCTTTCTCTAAACACACTTGAATTACTTAAAATACTTAAATAAGTTTGAATATAGATATTAGTTGGAATCAGTTGGGAAGTCAGCCTGTGGAGCACTTGAAAGAGAAAGATTTGCTGAACCTAGAAAATAGGTGTAGGAAATGCAAAGTGTACTGAAGTTGTGCTGGTATTAATAGTGTGAAGTAGTACAAGATCAGAGACAGTGAATTTGCTATTGAAAACAGTGTATTTGATTTTATTTAATCACAATTGTTCTTATAATTTTACTAGTAAAGAAAAAATTGACGTCCTTGTAATTTGGAGGTCAACAACAAGAATAGGAGCCTCTTTCTTGAAGCAGCAGGGTGAAATCAATTAGAGTAGTTCTAAATAGAACCCATGAGGTCATTGGTTGTCTCAGACACCTGAGGGACTGTGTGCGGCCTGATAGAAGCCTCCTGGAACCCATGTGGCTAGTGGGGAGGAGCAGCCATACCCAGCAAGTCATGGAGCCCACCCCTCTAGGCAGCAGCCAACATGGTCTGTACTTAACTAAGACTGTACTCCAACAGCTCCACTTCGAGCCATACTCCTCACCTTAGTCTTTTTCTGTAAAAGGTGGATGCCAACTTGCTTAGTATCATGGTTGGGAAATCCTGCAGTTGCAGGATTTGTGACTTATCATCTTCCAGCCCACTAAGTCTTCATAGGAGTATTCAACATGGCACTCTACAAAGCCTTTTACATCATTCGAGGGATATCCCAGATGTAGTTTCTGCTTCTATGGATGTATTCATAGCAGTAAAGTGGAACCCTCCTAGGTTGTATAGAAAGATTTGTGTTTTAATGAAGTTTTAAAGATGAGAAACAACTACTTATATTTATTTAAAGCCATTTTGGAGCTAAAAATTCATGGTACTCAGTATGTTCTCACTACGAAGGATGGTAGAACAAACTGAGACTAAGGGCGATGCTCTGTCTGGAAACTCATGCTGAGATTAAAATATGCTAGTATCTTCACTTTTTATTTCCTATATGAATGTTCAGTTTCTCAGTGTCTTTGTCATTGTAATTCATTCCTGCAGTTACAGAACTGTCATCTTTTCTCTTTGCCTGTAGAAGTCATCAGTCCTTATGGAAGATGGACTTGTTCAGGATGAGTTTTGTGAGAGTATGAAGATGAGTACTTACCTGGTTGCTTTCATTGTGGGAGAGATGAAGAACCTGAGTCAGGATGTAAATGGAACCCTGGTATGTTGATGTGGTAATTGTCCGAAAGCCTGTTTCAGAGTGGGTTAAGAGGAATTCTGGTTTTATTGATTGCTTGTGATGGTCTTATGAAGAGAAGCAAGCTTTTAGATCATGCTCAGACATTTTATACCACAAATATTGTTTTACTTATTATTAATTCTACTATTGGTTTAATAACTGAAAGTAAATAATTTTCAAGTTTCTTCATTTATAAGAGAAATCTAGTAAAACATCATTACTAAAGTTTCTAGAACTGTACAATATAGTGGTCACTAGGCTTATATAATTATTTAGATGTAAATTAAATAAATTTAAAATCCATTTTCTCAGTTTTATTTGCCACATTTCAAGTATTATAGTAGTGTTCCTGTGGCTACCATATTGCATAGATTGAAATGATTAGACAGATGCTGTTTTTTTTAAAAAAAACAAACCCTGGGATCCAGGTATTTATTGGTCAGTGGGGCTCAGCCCCAAGATAAAAACAAAAAACAAAACAAAAAAACACCTCCTACTCGTTATAATAGCAATCATTAAGAATACAAAAAATAATAAATGCAGGCAAGGATGGGGGGCGGGAAAGATACACTCATACATTGTTGATGGAACTGCAAATTAGTACAACCACTCTGGAAAGCAATATGGAGAGTCCCCCAGAAACTAGGAATGGATATGGCCCAGTTATCCCACTCCTTGGTATTTCTTCATAAGGTCTAAAATCAGCATATTTTAGTGATACAGGCACATCAGTGTTTATAACAGTGCAATTCACAGTAACCAAATTATGGAACCAGCCCAGGTACCATCAACAGCCATAAATGAGATTATGGCATTTCTGGTAAATGGATGGAACTGGAGAATATCATTCTAAGTGAAATAAGCCAGACCCCAAAAGTCAAGGGTTGAATGTTTTCTCTCACATGTGGAAGTTAAACCAAAATAAGGGGGGAAAGGCAAGGGTAGAAAATCTCATGAAAATAGAAGGGGGATCAGTGGAGCACAGGAAGGGGACTAAGGGAGAAGGATAGATGGGAAAAGGGAGGAACTGCAGAATGAAATTGACCAAACTATGCTATGTACATCTATGAAAATACCACAGTGAATTTCACCTTTATGTATATCTATAAAGCTCTAATTTAAAAAGAACTATAAATAAATAGTTGAGGAGGAGAGGGAAAGAGGAAGTACTGGGGTCTGAAGTGAAACAAGTTATATTCCATATTCAATTTTTTCAAAATGAACTGTGTTATTATGTGTAACTATAATGCACTAATAAAAACATTTTAAAAAGAAAGAATGAAAGAAGAAAAGCAAATCCTGATTGAGTTTATTCATAGAAAATGAGTAAGATTTTTAAGGGTCTGATTTATCTACATTTTGTCAAAATTCATTCTAGTAAAGTAATTCTGTTTTTCTTTGTCATTGATACCCATTTTTAAATGATTATTTGATTATATTTTCATACTCTAATTTTATAGCAGAGACCTAATAAAGCGAATATTTTCACATAAAATAAATAAAGAAGAATAAAGGGCTCTTTTAAAGTCTCCCATTTCCCTCCCTCCTTCCCTACTTCCATTCTTGCCTCATCTTTCATCTTCTATGTTGGCTTCTTACTACCTGTAGGATGACATTCAAATTCATCATTCTGATATTCTGATATTCAAGGCTGCCCTTACAAAGCTCAGTTATCTTTCCAGTTGCTCCAATATTAATTCTCCCATACAGCCAAGATAAATTATTCATAACACACATTATGCCTCATTTGTGTGTGTGTGTGTGTGTGTAGAAAGAAAGAAATTGAGAGAGAAGAATATAAGGTATAAGTTGGATTTTTTTTTCCTTTTGCTTGGAATAGGAAGAAACATGGTGGTTAAATATGAACCCTGGGATCTTCCTGGATTAAAATCCCTCTTATACACTTTAATAACTTTGAACCCTTAAGAAGACTACATTCTAATCCTCTGAACATCACCTTTTACAATTCTAATATTACACACACACATACACACACACACAGACACACAACCATTTATTATAGATATAATATATATAGTGTACATTTTATTTTTATCATATGTAAAATCTTTTGCATGAGATATAAATATTCTCATTTTTAGTGCTACCCAGTAGTAAATGTGTTTTTAAAAAATTAACATTATACAAATAAACAATAATTTTATTAATTTATTCTGTTTTTTAGGAAATATGGAAGAATGTAACATGTGGAATAATTCTGTATGTTAATTGTGGGCACTTGTTTATAAACTTTTTTTTTTTAAATTTTATATGTTGACTGAGGATGAAGCATTAGATCCATGTGACTGATGAGGAAATCATAGAGGTTAGATTGACCTGAGATGACATATCAAGTTATAGTCAAAATTTTACTATCCAATAGCTATGCTGTGTCTTATACCAAATTACATGAATAACAAATGTAGACATAGTGACCAGAACTATTCAAAACTTGGAGTGTAGCAAAGGATTTTTGTTATGCTAAAATGTTGTAATCTTTAGACTGCCTTCTATTTTATAATATTTGACACGAGTTCAATTTAACAAGGTCAAGGATTAAGGCAATAGGGATTTTCTTATTAATGTGAATCTTACCAAGCAACTAAAAAGTCACGGTTGACTGTAGATTATTACATGTGACCTGTAATAATAAAGACTGTGTCAGAGGCTTGAAAAAGAATATTTGTTATTTCTGTTCATTCTTCATTCCTTAAATCTCTCCCTGCCTTTAAGAATGCCAGAATTACCTGTAAAATTCTAGGCCAGTTGTAAATGTACTGTTTTATTTGTTTGTCTTGAGGTTTTTGTTTTGTTTTGTTTTTTGCCACTGCACTGCCTGCCTTCATTTTTATTGTACACAGGTCTAATTGCTAGAAGCAAAACTTAATCATGATTAGTCCCATGTGGTGTCTGTCCACATTTAAAAGAATCTTCAACTGTTTTATCCATGTGGTTAGAATTTTAATATTCATAGAAATATGACTCTGTTCAAAATTTCCTCAAAAAACATTTCTACCTCAAGTGTCTTTCCACCAGCCTGGGACATTATGCACAATTCATATTATTCTTTTCCATCTAATCAATCATTTTGAATGGACCTATTTCTGTTTGTTTATTTTAGGAATGTATGCTTTTTTGTTGTTCAGTTATTTGTTTGGGAAAGTCAGCATTTTTCAGAAAATTTAGTATGAAACCTCTAATATTTTCTGTCCCTATACAACTTGCAGTCCATAGTATTGTTTTGGTGGAGGGTGGGGCTGAAACTTGATTGTGCTTTTGCTTTTGTTAACTAATGTTCATTTTTAATAATTTAAAAAACTGATAAATTGAACCTAACAAATCTTTTATTCCTCAATCCTTTTCTTTGGGAGCTGATCAAGAATATTTATAGTTGTGTTTTTAGAAATCTCCCATAAGGTCCTTGTAAGATGTTGGGCAAGAAGTTTTAACTTGTAAGTCTTGAGACCTGAGTGTCAGTTGATTTCCATTTAACAATTTTTTGCGGGGGTCGGGGTTTATGTGTTGGGGAGCAACACTAAATCTCAGGCATGCTAAACCTCTCTCTGCCACAGAGCCACACCCTCAGCCCCCATTCAACAATGTTTAGAATTCTCTTACAAAGGCAAGAATGCTATTCAAGACTTTCTTTGCTAAGATAGATTGCTCTGTTTATTTTTTATTTTATTTTTAAAATTTTGTTTTTAGTTATAGGTGGACACAATATCTTTATTTTATTTATTTATATGTAGTGTTGAGGATCAAACCCAGAACCTCACACGTGCTAGGTGAGCACTCTACTGCTGAGCCATAACCCTGGCCCCTTTGTTTATTTTTTACTGCTTCTGTTGTTCTTAGATTAAGCTTGATAATAATTATAATGATTAGATGATTTGTTTCTAGTAAGAACTCTTAGGTATGTTCTTTTAAGGAAAAGAAAAAGAAGTAGAAAGGAAGAGAAAATACCGAAGTACCTTCTTTTTATGATCATTTTATTCCGGAAATGGGAATAAATGAACCCTTTCATCAGATTTCAGTTTCATTTACAGTCACATCATATGTATTTAACTTAGCATTTAACCCATAAAAGAGAAAATACCCATTTAAATAATACAGGTGATTCTGTCTTCTTTCCCACTTATTACATGTCCTGCAGTGAATGGGCAATGAGACACATGAACTGTTATTCTCTTAGTTGTTTTCACTTACTGTGTGCCATCAAAATGTGTTTCACATGATTTGTATATAAATATAAAAAATGGGACATAAAAACAAGCCCCGAATGAAAAAAAGCAAAGAATAAGTTGTCCCAGACTGAAAGAAAAATTGTGGCCATACTTTTGAAAGAGAATATTTTTATTTATAATCAGTTTTCTACAATATAATTTCAATAAATCTGCCATTTTTATTTTGTATGTAAACTTGAGAGTTAACTCTACTAGCAATATGTGACTCCTCTGTATTTAGTGCTTGCTAGATGTCAGTCTCTATGATAGGCGCTGAAAAGATAAAAGTTAAATACATATAATGTGAATGTAAATGAAACTGAAATCTAAGGCTCTTAATAGTTCGTAAGTAAAGAAAGAACTGCAAGTAATGGGAGAAGACAAATATCAAAAAATTTAATGGGCAAGTGCTTATAAACTGCTATAAAATGACCAAACCTAATTTACTTGGGATGTTATGATAATTTCAAAAAGAAAAGGAAATAGTAAGGTATTTTTTGAACATTGTTGTATATATGGAAGGAACTTACTAAACTCTATGGGGACTAAAAGAATTGTAAGCAAGAGTTTCTGTCCTAAAATATCTCATACAACTGTGTATTTCTTAGGTATGCCAGTCCTGACAGTGCTCACCTGAATATTGTGGCATTTTAATTGTATCTCTCCTTATATCACATATAATGTTTCCCTTTAGGTTTCGATATACACTGTGCCAGAAAAGATTGGTCAAGTTCACCATGCCTTGGAAACATCTGTGAAGCTTCTTGAGTTTTATCAAAACTATTTTGAAATTCAATATCCACTTAAAAAATTGGGTAAGAATCACCACACTTCTGATTTTTACTGCAATTGTAATAAAGATTTGTATTGCAAATGTTTTTTAGAGATAGTTTTTACTAAAGTTACTTAAAAAAGCCCAGAAACATTGTTAATGCTTTAAAAATTGTAATTATTAAATTATTTACATTCTATGAATAAAATAACTTGGAGCTTAAAACACTTATAAGTTATGGGGCTGTCGCAAAGGTACTATGTAAGTGCGATTAGCTTAAGGGCTTAGTCTGAAATTTGACTGACTTCCAAGAAATTTTGTAATTCAAATAACAAAAACTGCATAATGGGAAATCAGGAGAGCAAGAGGACTTTAGTACTCTTCAATGTAGAGCTGTTCCTAGAGAGCTCAATATGGATGGGCCCTGAATTTTGTTCCTCTTGCTCTAGAAAGCTGATTGGTTGTGGAGGCATTTTTTTTCCTTTGGTAAGGGACAGTGAGTCACCTGAAAGGAGGTCAAATCTTTCTCAGCTGACAACTAGTTAAGGAGTATGGAGAGCAAGAATAAGGATGGTGCATGCCTGTAATCCCAGTGGCTCCGGAGTCTGAAGCAGGAGGATCAGGAGTTCAGAGTCAGCCTCAGCAAGGGTGAGGCACTGAGCCAACTCAGTGAGACCCTGTCTCTAAATAAAATACAAAATAGGGCTGGGGATGTGGCTCAGTAGTTGAGTATCCCTGAATTCAATCCCTGTACCAAAAAAAAAAAAAAGGAATAAGGATGGTTCCACTTTCTAAGGAGTATAAAAATAACTCACTGTTTTCACCATGATAAGCCAATGAATAACATATTTTGTTTTAATTAGGGGGTGTGCCTTATATGAGGAAAGTTGATAACTTTTTCCCCTGTTATCTCTAGATTTGGTGGCCATTCCTGATTTTGAAGCAGGAGCAATGGAAAATTGGGGTTTGATAACCTTCCGAGAAGAGACTCTTCTGTATGACAATAATACTTCTTCGGTGACAGATAGAAAACTGGTCACTAAAATCATTGCTCATGAGCTGGCCCATCAGGTATTAACAACCAGTGCTCTTACGTCTTATAATTGTGTCTACTTCGTATACTAGAGCTTTAGAGTACATGTAGATGTTACTAATTATTCAGCTTTTTAAAAAAATATTACCTTCTCTTATAATAAAAAGGCACTTTTTTAGCACAAATTTAATTTCCAAATGAAAATGTTTTTGTTTATATAGGATGTTTAAAGCATTTTAATACCTTAAGATTGGTAATAATCTCATTTTACAGATGAAGAAACTTGAGAATCTGCTTAAATAAATGATTTGCCCAAAGTCACATGGCTAATAAGTAGTAGCATTTGGGCTTGAAGTCACTGTCTCTTTGAGACCCTTTTCCCCTAACAATTTATAGCTTCTCAGTGTAAATTTTTGTAGATGGGTTCCCTAAATTGCACTTTCTCTGACAGCTCTTAAATCCACAGTTGTTAGGACTAGATTTAATTTTTCTTCTTCTACTGGAATGGGGTTCTGTGTTAATGTAGGAGAGAGAGGTTCTGAGTAAAGTGTGAAGGCATCTTTATATGACACAGAGAAAAAGAAAGAAAATTTTGTGAGTATACAACATGCCCTCTTCCTCAATACCTTGTCTCTGCTTGGCTCTGGATGTGAAGTCCTTGCCAGGGTTGTGTATGGTTCAGGGTGTCATGAGGGGCCCCTTGTGGAGGAAGACCAGGAAAGGAATTGGTCTGCTTACTGTCTACCTACACATCTGTGTAGGACTTGGTAGCCTCGTGAAGACTTCTTGGCAAGCTGGAATACGAAGCATTTATTCACTGTTTTAAATGGGCCATAGATAAAAGGTGTCTTTGTGGATTCTTCTACATCTATTATTTCCAGGGCTAGCCATTGTCACTTGGGGAGTATTTCTCTCTTATTTCTTCTTTAGGACTTATAAAACATCTTCCAGTGAAACAGGGTTTAGCATAAGTCTTAGACAATTTTCTGTTATAATTCTGTAAAGTGTTTTGTTTTAGTATCTTGCAACTTGATTTTTGCTGCTAATTTTAAATAAATCATAGGCTACCTTAGCTAAATTGCACACCTTACAACCACTTTTTATTTCAAAGATTTTTAACATACATTTTTTAGGGGAGTCTCATTATTTTTTTCTTTCTTTTTATTACTGCATAGAAGAAAACATTTAAAGATGTTCCCGATTTCATCTGTTTATATATGGCAACTTTCTTAAAGAATGTTATTTGAATTCAGGTTTGAATCATGCAAATGCTATCTCTGACTTGGCCAATTGAGAGAAACCTAAAGCATGGACCCCCTGACTATAGGAAAAGCTCTCACATAGAACGAAACTTTCTTAGTTAACCTGCATGGTTGTAGATATAATGGAAAATAATACTATTAACTTAATATTAGAAAGTCAGTTTCATTATCTAGGAAACCTCATTTCCATGAGGTAGCCAAAAAAGTTTTTATATCCCTATTTGGCATGTTATATAGCCTGTTTTTAAAATTGATGAATATACTAATAAATATATTAGTACTCTTTCTTACTTTTTTTCCCATTCAGTTAAGGTAAAATATTAAAAGTTTTATTTTACTTGTAAAGGAAATTTACACAACTTTTACAAATCTCTGATTAATTCAAGTATAGTTTGTTTGAACTGTAATACCAGTATATTTTTAAGATATCTTAATCTGGTTATGGACAGTTAATATGACAGTTCAGCCAGTTTTTTGAATATTCCTGAGAATGTAATTATCATGTTGGTTGGGACTTTGTTTTTCCCACAGTGGTTTGGTAATCTGGTAACAATGCAGTGGTGGAATGACCTATGGCTAAATGAAGGTTTCGCCACTTTCATGGAGTATTTTTCTTTGGAAAAAGTATTCAAAGAGCTCTCCAGTGTAAGTATAATATTTGTCTTACTTGGAATGCTAGGAGGAAAAATAGTCAAGTTATGTTTTCTTTGCATTTGGAGAAATGAAAATGTTTCTAGAAAACTATACTAAAATTCATCCTTGTTAATGATATCCATACCTTTTTGGAAATTTGACAATGAAAATTACACTTTTATTGATATGTTTCACTGAAATTATGTAAGTTTATATGTTTTTGTAATTAAAATGAATATTTTAAATTGCTTTCCTACATTCTGTTTTTAACAGGTATGGCTCTTCTGCTTGATGGGATTTAGATAAGGTTGAAAAGCCTTTTTTGCAAAGCAAAAAATTTTTTTTTTATCTCGTCTATAAAGAGAGAAGAAAATTAAGACATTTTGTAGTAATTATATCACTCTGTTGTCACTACATGAATACATTCTTATAATAGCAATATATAACTTCATACAGATAATTTGTCCTGTTATGGTACAGACCATATTTTGTATTTCCCAAAAATGTGGAATATCCTTCCATGATAGAGAGACCTAATAATGTTGTCACTGTTATTAGACTCTGGAGATATTCTGAATTTAGGGACATTTGAAAACATTAAGCCATGATGTGCCATATTTTGCCAAAATAATTCAAGCTATGAGTGGAAAAGTGTAAATATTTTTTTCAACCCTTAAATTCAGTGACTTTCTGTTAAACTTCCTGGAGAAATGAGCCAAGACTGTTTTAAAGCAAGAAGTGTTCTTTGAGCTTTTAATCTGAAGTTTTTGTTTAGGACTTGTTAAAAAATTTCAAATAAAAGGAATTAATTTTTAGCTAGAATACTAAATAAGGCATTCCGAATTTGTATACCCTATTTAATTAAGCAATGAGATATATAGTTTCACCACTTGGTGGTGCCCAGAATTTTGAAAACCCCCTAATATGTATTCTTTGGGAGCTCATCTGCTGAACTATCAAGAGTTCCTACTGTTTAAGAGATATTTTACTTTAATTGGTTCTTAATTAAGAGAAATGTATATTGTCTTGTTAAAAATCCTGTACTATCTATGAGAAACCAGCTTAAAGACCAAGTTTTTTTTTTAATTTCAATTTTTATTTTAAAAATTAACTCTAGCCATTTTAGAATATTTATCTTGGATACCCACATTTGGCATTTGTTTACTTTAGTAATGGGCTCTTAACTAATCTGTATTCTCCTGTTTAGGAAATGCTGATTTTCTTGTGACTAGGTTATAATTATACTTTTAAATTTAAGGGATGTGCATTGAGGTCATAATCTTTCTGGATTTTCAAAAGTTTATATTCTGAAATTTAGCATAGCCAATTGTTTTTTCATCATGACTTTTATTAATAATTAGCAATAATATCAATAACTGCTGTACTTAACCTTTGCCTTGGATACATTCATGATATCCTAATCTGTTTAATTTTTTACTAGTATGAAGATTTCTTAGACGCTCGATTTAAAACCATGAAGAAAGATTCGTTGAATTCATCTCATCCAATATCATCATCTGTTCAGTCTTCAGAACAAATTGAAGAGATGTTTGATTCTCTTTCCTATTTTAAGGTATTGCTACGCAGAAAGAAAGCAACGGCAGTAGGCTTCAAGTTAATTTCATAATGTCAGCCAGTTGCATGATTTAGATTATTTTAAAAATTAAGTGAATATTATTTTCAGATAGCCTGCTAAACTTTAAATGTTTAAATTTTTAGCATTTGTATCTATTGAAATTTTAGTCTTAACTTTTTATGAGGTTTCCTTTATCTGTCTCTATTTTTAAAGTTCTGTGACTAGTTCTCCAGGCAGTTACCAAGATTATGTGGCAATACATCCTTCAAAGTTGATTTATGCTACAGATCTGCAAGTAGAACATGTTCAGAAAAGGACCTAAGTAAGCCTGGAGTTGTGTTACTCAGCATTGAGTTATATTCTAAAGTTAGGATTACTAAAACAAGTAAGCAAAAAGACATTTTAACTATTGAAGATTATAATGCAGGATCAGAAAGAAACAGGCTCTAGGTTCATGGATGAAGAAAAGATAAAAAATTAGGAATCCCATTAGGATCACTATAAGAGAACAAAGAAATCAAGAAGCTATCAGCATCATTGTTTTGAGGGCAGGGGTGAATGTTATTTACCTCCTCATTTTGGCTCTTGAATTAATTAGTTAATAAATTCCTGCAATAGAGCTGGATGCAATGCTGTACACCTGTAATCCCAGCAGCTCAGAAGGCTGAGGGAGGTGAATCAAGAGTTCAAAACCAGCCTCAGTAATTTAGTGAGGCCCTAAGGAACTTGGTGAGACCCTATTTCAAAATTAAAAAATGAAAAGGGCTGGGGATGTGGTTCAGTGGTTAAGTATCCCTGGCACAACAATAAATAAATAAATAAATAAATTCCTGCAGTAGATAGGGAATAAAATACATAAAACTTAAGATATAATTCATATAATCAAAAAACTCAAAATTTAGGAGGTGAGTATTTGTTGACCAGGAAGAGAAATAATGTATGCTGAAGTGGTAAAGAAACTTTTTACTTGGGATGCTGAAGAGAGATTCTTTGGAGGAAAATAGGAATTCAAATGAGTTAAATAATAACAATACTGGTTAACAGGAATGGGAGAAACAGGGTAGGACAAGAATGAAATAATGAGGGACCACTGTCAGGCAAGAAATGCTTATTTAGAGATAACATATGACTGCAGTGGAAGCCACATGTGGAGTACAGAAAGATGAGAAAGGTAGCAAGGCCCAGTTGCAGAAGTTCCTGAATGCCATCAGGAGTCCGGATGTTTTTTCTGTATGTAGTGGAAAGCTTCAGAAGATTTTTGAACAGAAGAATTACTTGATTAAAATTACTATTTAGAAAAATTAAATTGGTTTTAGTTTATAAAGTAGATTTAAGTGAGGGGAAGGGAACCCTTAAGTCAGGAAATTGCTGCACCCTTAAGTCAGGATATTGCTGCTGAAGTTTAGGCATGTAATGTAAAAGATACATAAGGTATGGTAGTAAGAGTAGATAGAAAACAATGGGCATGAAAAACTGGGTTGGGGTAAGTACTTAAAGGACTTTGTGACGGGTTAATACAGATAAAGAAGGAGGCAGAAAAATGTTTCCCAAGGCCAAGCCTGACTGTGAGAATTATAGTACTGCTAACAAGAAAATCAGGAGTTTCATTAGCCATATTAAATATATAATAGGCTCCCTTTATCTGCAGTTTTACTTTCCATGGTTTCAGTTACCTGTGGTTAATGGTGCTTGAAAAAATATTAAAAGGAAAATTCCAGAAATAAATAATTTGTCAGTTGTAAACTGCACACCATTCTGAGTAATGTGATAAAATCTCATGCTGTCCTTGCCCTGGTGTGAATCATCCATTTGTTCAGAGTGTTCACACTATGTATGCTACCTGTTAGTAACATAATACCCATCTTAGTTATCAGATCACCTACACAGTATCATAGTATTTATGTTCAAGTAACCATTATTTTACTTTATAGTGGCCCCATGCACAAGAGTTGTGGTGCTGGCAATTCACATATACAAAACAGACACCATAGTGCTTCCTTTAAGTGAAAAGATGAACCTTCTTAACTTAATATAGAAAGAAAACAAATTATGTGCTGAAGTTGCTAAGATCTGTAAAATAAGACATTTTGACAGATTACATTCACATAAGTTTTATTTGACAGTATATTATCATTATCCTAATTGTTCATTTTATTATTAGTTTTTATTGCTGATAATCTCTTACTAGGCCTAATTTATAATTTAAACTTTATCATAGTTATGTATATATTGGAAAAGGCATAGTATACCCAAGGTTTGGTACTATCTATGGTTTCAGGTATCCTCTGTGGGTCTTAGAAAGTATCCCTTGTGGACAGGGGAAATTACTGTATTTCAGTTAGAGCTACTGCAGTGATGTGTGTGTGTGTGTGTGTGTGTGTGTGTGTATGTGCGTGCGTGCGCGTGTGTGATGCTGGGGATTGAACCCAGGGCCTTGTGCAGGTGAGACAAATACTTTACCAACTGAGCTATATCCCCAGCCCTACTGCAGTAATTTTTAAAGCCTGTTCTGGAACTTTCAATAAGGAAAAATTTTAAACTTGTGGTTCTGTTGTTGTATAGAACATACTACCTTTAATATAGAACTTAAACAGAGCAGTTATTTTAGGATGTATTGACAGAGCTCTGTCTGCCTCCAGTACCTTCCTTCCAAATCCAGAATTCATTATCTCCTGATCATGTTGTTTCCACAGCATATTTAACCTCTATTGATATGGTAACTACTTGTTTCAGAATTGAAAATCTGGCAAATATCTCCCATCATTGAGAAAAGCAGGAAACTGAGTAATATTAATATTTTGTGTAAGAAAAAGTAAATGACAGTAGGGAATGTGTTTGACAAACATGTTCTGTTTGTTCTTATAATCATCAAACCCAGGTACTAATGGAGGTATCTTATGAGGATTCATTTATGCAGCAAGTTTTACAAGTATCAACCTTACACCAGCTATTGTTCTGGGTACTGGGGATACCACAGGAAGCAAGCTAGACTAGCTTCTGTGAAGCTTCCATTTCAGGGGTCAAAGATCGAGACAGACACTATACAGATGAATGAATAAATAGGTGTTATGATACCAGAAATAAAACATGTAAGGAAATGAGAGTAACAAAGCAAATGTTGGTCTACATACCACAATTGGGGAAAACCACTTGAGAGGTGATATTTGTATACTATTTGAGGAATTTTGAGGGGAAGAATGTATCAAGCAGAAGTAACCAATGTATAGAGTTTGTGTACAGAAAAGAGTTAATGTTGCAGGAATGAGACTGCTATCTTTTGAAAAATCTGCTTGCAAGACTGGCCCTTGGCTGGCATCTGGGAATCTGGATTTTGGAAAAGTTTTTATCATTCCATGATAAGAGTGGCCTGCTGTGCCCTCAGTTGTACCAACAATGTTGTTTATGCTAAACATTCTTGCCTTTCCTTGAGTCTGGAATTTTGATATATGCCAGGTAGAGGATACCTCTACAGATAGTATCTTGGGTGCTGAGTCTCTAATGAGCATTCCTGGTAGAAAATATTTCACATATGTTATCCTGTCTTGCTGGAGGGAATAAATATATCCTGTATGATTGCCCTGGGAGAGGACTCCTGAAGGTTTGAACCTAGTTTTCTCTTGACTTTATCCCATGCAACTTTTCCCTTAGCTGATTTTACTTTGTAACCTTTTACTGTAATAAATTATAGCATGAGTATGACTGTCAGCTTTGTTTTCTGAGTCCTCCTAGTGCATCATCAAACCTGGGACTGGTCTTGGGGAGTCCCATATAGCTTGAGATGAGAGATTGCTTTCCATGTTCAAGCACCTGCAGGGAGCCAATATATCTGGAGTAGAGGAAGAGGAAAGGAAAGTAGAAGTGAAATCAGAAGAATTATAAGAGATCAGATCATTGTAGAGTCTAAAAGGAGGCCATGTCAAGAATCTTGGTTTTATTCTAAGTGAAATAAAAGGATCCAGGAAAAATCATGATAGATTTTATTTGTAAAAGATTGCTCTAGTCTTCAATAGCACATGGAGTCAGGAGCACTAGTTAGGAAGTCGTTGTAGTAGGACTAAGGTGGCAATAGGGAAGGTGATGAGATATGGTTGGACTTGAAATATTTATACAAGTTGATCCAGTAGAATTTGCTAATGGATTAGATGTGGAATATAAGAGAAGAGTTAAAAACAAGGTTTTTATCCAAACAGCTGGAAAAAAAATGTATTTGCCATTTGCTAAAGTGGAGAAGACCACAGGAGGAGTAGAACTGGTGAAAGAAGGAAAAAAAATAGTTCAGTTTTTCAGTATGAGATGCACCTTAGATATACAAATGGACCAAACTGGCAGTTTGATGAGTCTGGGATTCAGAGAGGAAATATGGTTGTATATATGTGAATTACAGAATCATTTAAAACCCCTGAAGTTGAGAAGATCAACTAAGAAGCAAATTAGGTAGAGAAGAAAAGAGATTTAAAGAGAAAATGCCAGGATATACACCAAAATTTACTCACTGGGATGATGAGAAGGATCCAGCAAAGTAGACTAAGTATGATGCCAGGGAATAGGGAGAAAGTCAAGAGTGAAATCACAAGGCCAAGTGCATAAAGACTTTCAAGGAATACTGCCAGTGGGTTGATAAGTGAGTCTGAGAATGGACTTTGGTTTGGTACCAGAGAGTTTAATAGTGACCTTGATAAGAGCACTGCCAGTGAAGTGACGGCTAGCAGAGGGCTCAAAAGAAAATGCAGACCACATTTTTGAAGAGTCTTACTATAAAAAGAGAAGGGGCATGAAATGCAGTGATAACTGGAGAGAGCGTGAAGTTAAGGAAAGGTGGGGATTTTTAAAATTTGTTTAAAATTAGGAATGCTAAATAGTTTTTATTTTGTTAATGGTAATGCTACAGTACAGAGAGGAAAGGTGGTGATATAGGACAAAAGGGGAATTGTTTTGGAACAAGAATGAGTACTTAAATTTATAGAAAAAATAATAGGTATAAAATGTAGGGCATTAAATTTATATGTGCTGATAATCTTTTATTTTAGTTTCTATTTGCTGTTGGACAGCATTGCATTTATTTTTGTTTATTTTTATGTGGTGCTAAGGATTGAACCCAGTGTCTCACACATGCTAGTCAAGCACTCTACCACTGAGTTACAGCCCCAGCCCCTGTACTGATAATCTTAATGAATTAATACTGTTACATTTTTATCAGAAGTGAAAGTCATTCAAAAAATATTAGTGCCTATTACTGGGCATTGAGGTTCTATTTTAATTACTATAGTTGAGTTTTTTTAAAATTATTCCCCCAACTGGTGTGCAGCTTAAAAGAGGAAATAAATATATAACCAATGCAGAAAGTAATATAAATTGCTATTGAAGATGGACAGAAATGATTACTATTTCAAATAAGGAAAGGCTTCACAGAGGAGGTGGAGCCAGAATGATGACGTGTGCATGAGTGAATATAGTATGGTCTTAATAGTTGCATGTCTGGTTATGAATTATCAGTGTATGCTTGCTGCTCTGTACATATTTGAAGTGACTCTGTAGGAAGAAGAGAGATTCTGGCTACTTCAGCAACATGGCATACTAAAATTAGAAAGTAATGCACTACCTAGAAGACAGGCTTTTGGGAATTCTGCTGATTCATTGTGTCTGTAGCAGTATATGCTCACAAATGGAGCTGGCACTTCAAGAATTGGGTATGGACATAGGGATGCCACAGAAAATTGAGCATGCTCTTCTATTAAAATATGAAAACTGAGCATTTCAACACTAATACTGAAACAGTAAGTGTGCTGATAGACCACGTAGAATGGCTCATGGAAAAAATAGTACACATGAATATGTAACTCCATTAATTCTTTTTCAAATTCCTTAAAATAAGTTTAAGACATTTGAACATAATCCACATCTAGCTATGAGATAGTATAAGTACATTGAACATGTAAAAGTACATGTTCAGAATGTTTTGAATATTAGATTTTCGGTTCTATTGCCTATAATATTCTATTGTTTTCTTCCATTTTCCTCACTTTTTTGTTTGTTTTTGAAAATAGGGAGCTTCCCTCTTGTTGATGCTGAAAACTTATCTTAGTGAAGATGTATTTCAACATGCTATCATTCTTTACCTGCATAATCATAGCTATGCATCCATTCAAAGTGATGATCTCTGGGATAGTTTTAATGAGGTGAGTGGCCCAAATAATTTATTTAAATTCTGTCTTCTTACAGTAGGAGCTCTTCTGTTTATATTTTTATCGCATAAGCAAATAAGTCTGTGGTTGCAAAGTATTTTATAATTATTTAAGAGAGAGAGCTATGGTATATCAGTTATACAATTGGCATAAAATATTTGTGAATTTAAAGTCATGAAATGAAAGTGCTGTGCTTAATTGTTGAAAAAAAAAAAAGTGGGTTTCCATACTTTATTCTCCATTCTTACTTTGTTAGGAAAAGGGAAATTGTCCCATATTAAAGGATATTACTATATCTTTGTTATTTGATTTTTTAAAAAATCTCTTTTCCTAGTTTTTTTTTCTTTTTCTTTTTTTAATCTCCCATTTACCATTCTGTATTGTCCCCTGTAATCTCTTTGTCTTTTGAGTCCACATTCCTCTAAGTAGATGATATGTCACAGGCTAACTGCCACAAACTGTATGCTGCCCTAGGATCGTTTAACTCTTTGGATTTTGTTACCTACAAATATTCTAATATATAGTGTAGTTAGGTAGATGTTATGCATTAAAGCAGTCGTGAACCTAGCCTGCTGCATGAGTGTATGTTGACTGTACAACATTGACAAGCATTTTAGTTTTTTACTCTGATCTAGATCAGTTGTTCTTCATGCTCTGAAATATTGCATGAAATTTCTGGCCATATTTCCTAAGAAAACCACAAATCATTGCACATTTTCAAAGTTTTATGAATGTTGGATTAAGAACCCTTGTTTTGGCTCCTTTCCATATGCTTTTTCTGCTGCTACCCAATGTGAATTCTGGTGTTTTCTAGCTGTTAAGTTTTTGCTCAAAAGATATTCCTTCCCTACTCTGAATTCTTTTTGAAAGGTTTCAGTTCTTATTACCTAACACTTGATTCCAAATTCTATAATTATATAGTAGCATTTCAGTTGAAAATCATGTTTTTTACTTAATACCCATTATCTTATCTCTTGGCATTTAGAAAATATTTCCGTCTTCCTCACTGACTCCAACTTTTGGACCATAGTGTAGACCCATCTCAACCTGGTCCATAACATTATACTCAGCTTTTTCCAGCATCCACATCAAATTATGCATTGGGCTCTTCACTTCAGTATTGCTTCAAACACTCCAAAGCATGTTGCTTTCCTTACCACCCTCTAGTCCATAAATAAGGAGGCCAGAGCCACTAGAAATATAAGAGTAATATCACAATGAATTTGGGAAGAATCACTTTATCCTTTTGTGCTTTAAATAGGCATATGGTGATTGAGGTAAGGTTTGCATAGTAGCATAACATGAATTTATCTGCATGTGACTTCGTTGCTAGCAATCCAAATCTAGATGTAATCTAGAAAAATAATTTCAATCATAAATTCAGCCCTTTTCTTTGAAGAGACAATTGTTCAAAAATTGCTTCCTAAACATTGATGCCAGTCTTAGGGATAGTGGCATTAGAGATCTGCAAACATCTGACAATAGATTCTACATTTTTCAGATAAGTTCTTGTGTTTTCTGGGAAAGACTATATGTGTGACCATCAAAAAAGTTTACCAGTATTCTCTAAAGAGACTTAGTCAAGAGAACCGACTGCTGCTCCTGCTGCTGCTCCCTGGCTGACACGAAGCAGAGCATAGGAGAATGAAGAAAGTTTAGCCTCAGTTGATTCAAGAATTGAACAGCAATTCTTTCCATTCTAGAATACATATCATTAGTCATATCTTCTAAATGTTAGCATTGTAACCTAAAAGAGCACTTCTACTTTCTTAGGAATTTTAATTTTAAGGAATTTAGGAATTTTTTATCTTAATGAAACCTGTTAGTTCATTAAAAGCACTAAAAGCACATGCTGCTTTTTGACACAGTGCCTCTCTCACACCCTCAGTTTTCAGTCAGTTCTGTTCCAGGTTTCTTTTCTTTTAGAACTTTCTTGTGTACCTAAATTAGATGTGTAAACTCAACGCAGTGTTAATTCTTCTTTTTTACATTAAAATTAAATATTGTCTTGATAGAATGTGCTCGAGAACGAGACAAGGGTACAAATAAAACTGTAAAAATTTTAACTAATTTTTTATCTTTAAGTAAAAATACCTTATTCTTTTTTTTTTGTAGGTTACTAACAAAACACTAGATGTAAAGAAAATGATGAAAACATGGACCCTGCAGAAAGGGTTTCCTTTAGTGACTGTTAAAAGGAAAGGAACAAAACTTTTCATACAGCAAGAGAGATTCTTTTTAAATACGAAGCCTGAAATTCAGCCTTTAGATACAAGGTATATACTCTTTGTTTCTGTGTTGTGTCTTTTGTACCCTCAAATGAAGTATATTTAAATGTTTTGTGATCATACATTCTAATGAAACTTAACACGATTATCCTTCTCTGGGAATAGCTTAAATTTCTCCTTTCTATCCCCAAACCAAGAAGTCATGTGTAACTAAGTGAAATATTGGGAAGAGATATAACCTTACAATATCTTCTTTTTACAGTTACCTGTGGCATATTCCAATATCCTATGTCACTGATGGAAGAAATTATTCAAAATATCGATCAGTATCACTACTGGACAAGAAATCAGGTTTGAATATAACTAATACCTTCCTAAAAAAGAAATTGCTAATAGCATAATTTAGAAAATCTGACCAAAGAGCAAATCAGACATTACACTTTCCAGTGCATATACCCTGTCAACTTATTTTATGAATCATATATCCAAGATGTGATTAAAATGAGATTGATTCTATGTTCACACAGAATTGGTCTTTAATTATAAGAAATAAGGTACAAAAAGTCACAGGGAATGTTGCTGGCAGTCTTGACAAGAAATAGCAAATGTTTTATTTTTATTTCCTGGATAAATATTTCACATTTACAAAATAAGAAGTAATAGAAACAGAGTAGTTTATTAAAGTGTTATCTACTATCTACTGTCTAGGGATGGAATATAGCAATTGCATTTTAACAAGAATCCTAGATGATTCATATATATAATATAATAAAGCCTGATTCATGACCTAGATTTAGAGCAAATAATTATTATAATATGTATTACAGATGTAACATACCTTTTTTGCAAGGAGAAAATGGAGCAGGAAACTATCATAGCAAGGAGAAGGGAGATAATGAAATGTGAACGTGATATAGGTTCCAAAATTTAAAACTTTTAATCTAACATGACATTCAAAATGTTTCAGATTTTGAATCATTTCAGATTTCTGAATTAGGGATGCTCACCCAGTAAAATCTAGGCAAATAGTTCAAAAACCAAACAACCGACCCCTGCCAAAACTCCAAATATAAAACATTTCTGGTCCCAGGCTTTTCAGATAAGGAATGCTCAATTTGTACATGTTGACCTACAAGCAAAGCAGTCTATTAAAAGCAATTGAAATGTGTTTTCTGCCCATCTGTTAACAACCAATGTGATAAACTACACCATGTATCCTAAAAATTTCCATCCTATAAGGGTTATGTAGAAATCAGTAATGATGTTTTTAATTTATGAAAAAGGGAAAACTTCTTTGAATTTGGATGCAAATGTACTTAGGATGAAGGAGATGGCTTTTTGTAGCCACATTGTCTCGTTCACTACTTGGCTCTATCATTTATTACATGTGTGATTTTAATTGAATCATGTAACCTCTCTAAAATCTCAATCCCTTGACTATAGAATAAAGATAGTAATTATACTTACTTTATAGGGTTATGATGATATTGCCTGGCAAGAATTATGTACTATAAAAAAGCAAGCTGTTATCATTGCTGTTCTTTTTCAAAAAGTAAACTTTTAAGCATAGTGTATCTGTATCACAAAAAACTGAGGAAATGAAGAACAAATGTTATCCTATCATAACTATTATCATGATTCTTTCCTTTTTTTTTGGTACTGGGGATTGGCCACATCCCCACCCTATTTTGTATTTAGAGATAGGGTTTCACTGAGTTGCTTAGTGCCTCCCTTTTGCTGAGGCTGACTTTGAACTCATATCCTCCTGCCTCAGCCTCCCAAGCTGCTGGGATTACAGGCATGTGCCACCACACCTGGCATTTCTAGTCATTTTTAAAATAAGTTTTTCACTTGGTTGAAATCATTATGTACATATGCCTTCTTAAAAAAGATATATACAATAATTGACATAACCTTCCCTTTTTAAACATCTGATTCATCATTTGTCCTTTTTTTAAAATAAATTCCCCAATAAAATTTTTGGCTCTTTAAGTTTTTTCCATTATATAAACTTATTAGGAATTCTTCTCAAAAATGAAGACTGTGTCACCACTTGTAATTCAATACATGTGACTACATTGTCCTTCTTCTGTGGGATAACAGTTGAATGCCACTTGAAATATATGAATGTGCCAGTTTTATTGCAGTTTTATTACAAAACTGCAATGAAGTGTTACTATAATAACAACAACAGTTTAAACTCTAGGAACAGTTGGTGATGTCACCCTATTTTGATTAATCTAGTGTGGCTAGAAGATTTAAAAAATGCTGCCTTCTCTGGTGTAAAACAAAACTATAAACTTTAAGTGATACTTGGAAAGACACTCTGACCACAGAGAGAGTAAATGAATTTTTTTCCTTTATCCAGCATCACAGCCAAAACATGGCTGCAACATTTAAAATAAACGTATAAGGATAAACTTAGCAAACCTCCTGATATTTTATTAAAATTTTGATGGTATTAGAAATAATTGGTCAATAAGAAAAATCTTTTTGTCTATTTATTTTAGGTCAGTTTACATGTGAGCTTGTTTAACTCTTTGAAATTCATACTGCATAGATTAGCTCACAGTTTCCTGCTTTAGATTTCTCTTTCTTAGCCTTTACTGGATGTTCTCTTCTTTATTCTTATTTATTTATATGCAGTGCTGAGAATTGAACCCAGTGCCTCATACATGCTAGGCAGGCGCTCTACCACTGAGCCACCACCCCAGCTGTTCTCTTCTTTTGCTGGTCAAAAATTCTTTCAAAAACTCAAAACACGTCATACTGCCTCTCATCTCTGGGTCTTTGCATGTGCTATTTACTTTTCTTGAGAAGTAACCTTGCCTCCTTACTTCCTGGATCTCCTTTTATTTAGATCTTAGCTCAGCCATTGCTTGCTCTGGGAGGACCTCCCTTGCCCCAAGACATGGTAGATGTCCTATTTGTGTTTTAATAACATCCTTTACTTCTCCACTTGTTCTACAAGTACTGTTTCACTTAATGTCTATTCCTATGTTTGATATATACCCCCATTGAGGGTAAGGATCATGGCTGTATGAGTCACTCTTATAAACTTAGCACTCAGTAGACGAATAAAAATTTATCGAATGAATAAATGTTGGTCTGTAATGAGATGACTCAATTTCAGAAGTAACTATAAAAATATAGAAAACATATTCAAAATATGATGAAATATTTTATTGTCCTTTATTTGAAAATAATCTCAAATTCTTTAAGGGGAATATACAAAATGCCATGTAATATAGTTGGTTTAATCTAGTGACAGAACTTGGCCTATATATGACCCATATATGACTATTACTTCCTCTTCTCAACTGCTTATTTCCCTTGCTGCTGCTGCTCTAATTTCTGCCAGTCAGGTTTTGAGAACCCACATTGAAAATTTTTTTCTTACAAAAAATGTTTGATGCTGAGGGCAGTTGAATTTCCTTGATTTCTATACTTCTATACTGAGAATTACACTTACTTTAATTGAATTTTCATTTTTTTCCTATTCAGAGAGGGTGACTTCAGGCCTCTGCTATAAGACTTGACTATAGCTTATTATTTTGATTTGTTAAATCTATAGTATATTAACTGATATTCTATTTCCAAGGTTGCTGGTGAGTTAGTTCAGTCATATATAGGAGTTTATATTTGGTCAATGTCTTTGTCAATTTTCCCCATATGTATGAATTTTAGACAGTTATTTGTGTGCATAAGAAGACCTAAATGTGACCATTTTTTCAAGGCTACATGTCAAAGAAATTACACTAAACCAATGTTTCTTTCTCCACTTTTTTTTCCCCCCTTCCTTTCCTTCTTTTATCCACATCTTACTCAAATGTAACCTCTTTAACTATAGGAGATATTTATTTTAAATCTAACTGGAAACATTCACATTTCTGAAAGTGTATCATTGTTCCAGAAATATTTTTGTGAAACTAAAAGACATGTGACGTATGGAAAGACACTTGGAAAAAGAGAAGAAAAGGAATATAATGACTAGGCATGGTGGCGCACGCCTATAATCTCAACAGCTTGGGAGGCTGAAGCAAGAGTATCTCACATACAAAGCCTGCCTCATCAATTTAGCAAGGACCTAAGCAGTTTAGTGAGACCCTGTCTCAAAATAAAACAAAAAAGGCTGGGAATATGGCTCAGTGGTTAAGCACCTCTGGGTTCAATCCCCAGTAAATCTACCCCACGCCCCGCTGCCAAAAAAAAAAAGAAAGGAATATAATGAAGATATTCATCATGTGCCATTCTCTGCTCTTGCCCTTTTCCTAATAAAATAAAAGAAAGGAAGGTGTATTAAAGAATATATTAACAAGAGGGGATGTAGTTCAACTGCATGTGTTATGCTAGCCCCTAGAAGCAAATCAGATATGAAATTTTGTAACTATTTGTAATAAAATATGTTTACTGTTTCAGTGCTTTAATGTTTCTTTGTAAAACAGTAGTTGATTTTCATAGTTCATTTAAAAAATGGCTTTTTTAAAAATCACAGTTAGATTACTTCATCTGGGTTTCTTCCATCTGAGTTACTCTTTTTTACTACTCAATGGACTGTGAAATTTGGACTGTTAATCTGTTAATGATTATAATAAATTAAAAACATATGAGTATGGCCTCATCCATATTTGAACTGCAGGATGTAGTTGCCCTTCCTTGTATGCAGAGCTGTTACTTTTGATACCTGTGGTTTTAAGGTCCTCCATTCTAGATCATTCAGAAGACCCAAAAGGGACTAGTTTGTTGATGCTTTAAATGATAACTCTCTATACTATTGGCTGCATTGTTTATGTTCTGTCAACTTGATGACAGTAATAATTTCAAATACACTCCCAGCTGGGTTTCTCCTCTCTACCATCTGGAATTGGCTAGGTTTACAACAGGGCAGGTTGCTTATCAGCCAAGATACTCAATATTTTATAATTTTTGTGTCCATCCAGTAGAACTATTGCCAATCTTTGTCTCCCTTTTTTTGGGCAATGGAGATTTGGGGCTCTGTAGCCCTTCCTCCTAAGGTCTTCTCTTGGAAAAAGCTTTATAGGAGATTGTTTGGTATCTGGAGAATGTTGATATTTTTTAGATTATCTCATGATAAAGTTAATTTTATTAGTCATAGGTTTATTAAAAATGATTTCAACTTGGAGCAGCTGCTGTTGCCATTACAAATACTCCTTAGAAGTGCATTCTGCCCTGGAAAAGAAATAAACTGATTTAATCTAATTGATCTTTCCCACCTGCTGCTATATCAGCAGTACAACAGAAATGAGTATGGAATTTTTTAATGAAAAAAAGAAAAAGATTAACGGATATGTCCTGTTAAGACTTGATCAGAATGTCTTTTTTCATAGAGTTGGATTAATAAAGATATTAAATGAATCTGATAAACTTAAATAATTCATGCTTTTGAAGTTGACAAACCCTAAAGCTTCAGATACTAATAAATAATCCTTGAGTTTACAAGGATTCTCAAGCATTTTTATATACAAAAACAATTCACTAAAAAATTAGATGATGAAAAAATTTAAAGTCTCTATGTTTCAAAATAGAAGATTGTTTAAACTGTGGTAGGTCTTAAAGTGGAATGTTATGAATCTTCATATGCACTTCTGAACAGTGCATATGAGAACAATGGAAAATGGAGGGATGATCTGATAGGTGAAAAGCAGCATAAATATAAATGCATATAAATCCACTATATGAAATTGTAGTTAGTTAAAGCATACATGGGAAAAAGCTAGACAGGCAATGCACTCCAAAATGCTATCATTATCTGAATTTAGATTACTTTTCTTCTCTTGTAATAAAAAAAAAAAAAAACTCAAAAGTGTTGATTACTTTAAAATGGAAAAATAGTATCACAAATATCTACAAACTTTATTTACATATGATAGGAAACTGTTTGCCATGATATAATCTTTATTAACTCTTTCATTACTTCAAAGATGTTTTTGAACATCTGCTAGATACACTGTTCTATGGATTGATAGATTAGCAGGGAACAAAATAGTAAACCCATGGGGCTTATATGCTAATAAATAGTAAATGTCAAGATGCTTAAAAGCATACCCCTATTATGTTGAAACCATAACCTTGTTGCCAACTTTAAGGGACATTCTTGTTTAGTAATTTTAAGGATTTTTTAAAATTCATACATATATCTTGTAATCAATTAAGCTTTTCATTATTTGTATATCAGTTGAAAAAATTGGTTAGAAATTTTTAACAATTCTCTCAACATATATATGTGTGTATGTAATATATATATTATATGACATGTATGTGTGTATATATGTGTGTATATGTGCATGTATGCATATATACGTATGATATGTGTGTGTGTATATATATATATATGCATATATATGTGTGTGTGTGTGTGTGTGTGTGTGTGTGTATGCTATAAAAATGGTAGGGATCCAAAAAGCACATATGGCTTTCTATTATTATTCTATTATTTGTACCTAATGAAACTATAAGCCTTCCCTAATGTTATTTCGCTAACTTTGAATTATGTGACTTTTCTGAATGGCTTTGTTGTTCTTCCTCTCTAACTTAACAAAAGACTGAGTGGTGCATGCACTTATCTCTCTGTTTTTCCTTGCTGTCCCACAGTACACATACTTTCCCTTTCTCTCCCTCTCTCCTCCAGCTGTAATGAACTACGACCAGTTCACTGCAGGGGCATTGTGGACACTTTCTCTGGGCCTTGAACACATAGGGTCCCTACTGAACCTTTGTTACTTGACTAACATCTACATAATCTGAAATCACTTACAAGAATAACAACTTAGACATCATTTCTTCTGAGAGACCTCTCCAGACTTTTCTACAGGATGAAACATTCTGCATGCTTTTACTGAATTTCATATTTTCTTCCTCCATTGATGGCACTTATGTGACATTGTGCTTATTGGGCTACATTAGATCATAAAAGCAAAGATATATCTGCCTGTTCACCATTTGCTCTCCAGTGCCTACCCTAGAAACAGGAATGCCCAGTGAATAAATAATCCTTAAGTGAATGAGTGGCAATCTTTGTTAACATGAAAATACTTGCACCAGAAGACCGGCATTCACTTTCTTAGTAGAATGATTAAAAATAAAAATATGCTATATTAACTATTAAAGTGCCCATTTAACTTTCTTTTCTTATATTTCCTTCTCAATGTTTCTCTCACTGTCTCTCTCTCTCTCTTTTTTTGGTCTGTCTTAGATATCATCAATCTTACAGAACAAGTACAGTGGGTCAAAGTCAATACAAACATGACTGGCTATTATATTGTACATTATGCAGACGATGACTGGGCAGCACTAATCAAACAGTTGAAAATAAATCCTTATGTTCTGAGTGACAAAGACCGAGCCAACCTCATCAACAACATCTTTGAACTTGCAGGGTAGAGTATGCTTGTTTTGAGTTTTTGTTTTGATGAATTACTGAGGGTAAAGAATAGTTCAGAAAAATGGTTTACTAACAGACATGGTGGTATACGCCTGTAAACCCAGTGACTCAGGAGGCTGAGGCAGGATTGATCTCAAGTTTATTTCAAGTATAGCTTTGGCAACTTAGTGAGACCCTATCTCAAAAAAAAAAAAAAAAAAAAAAAAACAGGGGGTGGGGTGGGGTCTGGGGATGTAGTTCAGTAACAGTGCCTTTGTGTTCAATCCCAAGTAACACCAAAAAAGAAAAAGAAAAATGGTTTTGGAACATCAGCTAAAAAACATATTGAAAAGTTAAGAAACATACAACAGAATTTAGTAATAATTCAAGAGCAGATACCAACAAGCAGAATACATATTTTTGCTGAATAAATTGCTGTAAGAGTTCAAACTTCCTTTGGTTTCACAGAGAGAATTCTTTTTAATCAGCAGTGGGATTTAAGTGTGATGTTTAGTGCCCACCTGTTGGCTTGATGGACACCTCTAATGGCGAGAGTCTCCTTATCTGTGGACTGCTTGCCTTCCAACCACTTCATATATTATACAATCCCATAGCCAAGAATGGCAGTGGCCTATTGCAAAGATAGTCTTTGAAGAGATTACCAGTTTAGATTGATAAATTGGCCTAAAAGCATGAGGAACATTCAATAGGATTCTACTTGACCACTCTTAACTTCATTTTGGTTCATTTTTTATGTAGTGGCCTTCTTGTATTATCTCAACCATCACTGCTATGATTTTTATATAAAGTGGCTAAAGTTTAAAATGTGCTCACCATAAATTCACAGTGGATAAATTTCCACAAAACAACAAATAAAATGTTTTTGTTTCTGATTCACATACTCTCTGTGCCATTCCCTTTCTTCTGTTAAATACAGTTAGTAAATAAATAAAATCAGTGTTGTTCATCTTTTCTCACCCAAGACATTGGGATACTTTTACTGAATCAGAAGAAATTCACAGGTGACTTGTAGAATAAAACATGAGATATTGTATATCTTTGTCTTAGAATGCATCTTTAAACCTTTGGCCACATGAACATTAAGTTAATAATACTGAGTTTTAACTGTACAGGATGCTACTCTGGTTAAATTTCTGATCCTTGAGACTAGCCATCTAGCCATAAAGCTCTCCAACATTCATAGAATTTTTCTGTGTGTTTCAGTATATTTACATTTCCTGTTCTTTCATCCATTAGCCTAGGCAAGGTGCCTCTTCAGAGGGCCTTTGATTTGATTGATTATCTTAGAAATGAGAGCTATACTGCACCCATCACTGAAGCCCTGTTCCAGACTGGCCTTATCTATAACCTTCTTGAGAAACTGGGGCAAATGGATCTGGCCTCAAGACTGGTGGTAAGTCTGCCTTTCTGCCAATTTCCCTTATTGCCTGCCTTCAATGTTGTTATTTACAGGTTTGGGTTTGTTCAGCCAGTATTGGACTAAAAAAGCAACCAACTAAATTCCATTTTCTTCACTTTCTTGATTTTGAATTTTTTACTTTGAATCAAAATGTAATTGCTTACCATGAAGAGATAATAAAAGTTTTGTTGTAAGGTACATTTGTTTGATTATCCAAATGCAGACTTTTGACACTGGTCTCAGTGTGGGGTCATATAAAAAGAAAATGTCTCTATTTGAATCCTAGTTATTTTTTACACAGTGAATTTTTGAAATAGGCCCCTTTTCAAAGTAGATATCCCATTAATTTGCTAGTTGCCAGGCCATTATGTTTGTGCTGAGAAAATCCTGGTTAGGAGTCCTGCTGGTTGCCATCCAGTGGCTGATGACACTGTTGGCAAGCACTAAAGGAGTCGGTATTGCAAGCTGTTTACTATTTGTTGTTTGTTTTGCTCTGATTTTTTAAAATTTATTTATTCTAATTTGTTATACCTGACAGCAGAATGCATTTCAATTCATAGTACACATATAGAGCACAATTTTCATGTTTCTGGTTATATACAAAGTCACACCATTCATGTCTGCATACATGTACTTTGGGTAATAATGCTCATTTCATTCCATTGTCTTTCCTACTCCTCTGCCTCCTTCCTTCCTCTCCCTCCCTTTTGCGCTATCTAAAATTCCCCCATTCCTCCCATGCTCTGTCTCCTCCCATCTCCATTATTGTGCTACTCCACATTTTGTATGATGATCCTTTCATTTATGGGTGATTCTCAGTGAGGGGATGGGAATACAAGGCATTTGCGCCAGAAGAAGCTTGAAAAGCACCCTCTCCCACATTTCTAATCTGACCCCAAAGAAGGCACCCTATTTTTAGTGCATGAGATTTTAAGATTATTTCTGAGGACTCTTTAGTGAATGGTTAAGATTTTTATCACTTTCTGTTCCATTAGGCTTTCAGCTAGCAGCCCTCATTAAAAATAATAATAATAATAATAATAAAAACTAGTGCCTAGATCGAGACCTGGCCCAGGTGACACTCAGTAATGTTGGATGAATAAATGAATAAAGCACACCAGAAACAAAAGCATCTGAGTACTTATTATATTCTGTACATTCTGAGTGCTTAATGGAGATTACTTTATGTAATCCTCACACATTATCAAAATAGGTATTTCTGTCCCCATTAAATAAATGAGGAGACTAAGTAACTTCCCCAGGCACTTACCTAGTAAACTATAGAGCCAAGATTCAATCCCAGATTACTTTCACTCCAAAGCCTACTGTCTGTGTTGTGTTCCTATATTTTGTGTTCCAGAAATATTTCTTCAGGATACCTTTTGTTTGAAAAATTAAAGCTTCTTTCTTGCTATCATTTTTTTTCCTTTTTAAAATTGAAATTTTACCTAAAAATAGTTTGAAACATTTTCGACTATACATTTAAGATTTAAAGTAACAGACCCACATCTAGTTGTTTTCTTGAAAATGAGATCATCAATTTATAATATATCTTTTATACGTATAATATTAGTAATAGAATTTTTTACAGATTTTATGTGCATTTCCAAGAGATATGGAGATAACTTGCTAATCTCTAAAGCAAATGTAAAATCTAACACAGGATTACTGTGGTGGGATATAAAGAGACTGGCCATTTATTAACCAGTTTGGCTAATGTTGATAGACATGGAGTTGTTTGTAGTATGGAGCTGTCACAGGTAGCACTACTATGAGTGTTCTTGTGTTTATGGAGAATATTTATATGCATTTCTGTGGGGTATGTGTCTGGAAATGGAATCACTGACTCATAACATGTGCATAGTTAATGCTGTACTGTAGTACAGCAATTAGTACTTTTTCATAGTTGTACCAATTTACATTCCCATCAGCAGTGTATACAAATTCTAGATCTGCCATTGTTAGTATTCATAATAAATTATTTTTCTTTTAAGCAGTTGGGGGTTATTTACCAGTGTTGCAATTTTGGTTTTAATTTGCATTTTCCTGATGACTAGTAAAGATGAATTTCTTTTGATATATTTACTATTTTAATGTTGGATGTTATCTTTTGTAAACTGCCCAACTCTTTTGCTAATTTTCCTATTAAATTATCTGTCTTTATCTTATTAATTTGTAAAGTTCTTTATCTATTGCAGATATGAATCTTTTGTTGATTATGTGTATTTTGAAATACCTTATTTTTCTCTCTTAATGATGTTTATAATTACTATAAACTCTTAGACTTTAATGTAGTTTAGCATACAAAATTTTTTGCTTTCACCAAGATATTGTGTTAACTTCTGAACTTAACCTTTTACATTTAAAACTAGGATAGCTCTGGAATTGATTTTTGTGTATGGTATGAAGTAGACACCAAGTTTTACTTCATTGTGCCTATCTGGTTTTCCCAGTATATTTCATTTATATCTGTATTTTTAATTGTGAAATTACTTTGGAAGTGATTAGTGCCATATTATATCAGTACCAACTGAGGTAGTATATTAGTTTGCATAATAAATTATTATAAATTTAGTGTCTGAAAACAATAATTTTTTTCACAGTTCTAGAAACTAGAAAGCCAAAATAAGTTTTTTGGGGGCAGGGTAGGGCTTGTTTCTTTTGAGGAAGAATCTGTTTCTTGTCTCTTTCTTAGTTTTAGGTGGTTGCCAGCAATCTTTGGCATCCCTTGGCTTTGTAAGATGAATCACTCCAGTCTCTGCCTCTGTCAACATGGTCTTCTCCCTGTGTCTCTGTGTCCCAGATTTCCCTTTTCTTCTGAGAACACCATTTGATTAGAACTACTGTTTCCCAGTATGACCTCGTTTTAATTTGATATCTGCAAAGACCCTATTTCCAAATAAAGTTATATTCACAGGTTCAAAGCAAACATGAATGTATGTGTGTGAGAGATCACTGTTAAACTAACTCAATGGAAGTAGCAACAAATAAGATTAATATATTTAATTCATTTTTCCCCACTATTGAAGGACAGTATTAGTTTTGAATATAAAGAATGTCTGCCTACTCTGAAGCCATAAACCTAATTACGTTTCATCATGGTAGAAGCCATTTTCTCCCTGACTGTCTCCATTAGATTTGTTTAGGGCTTAATCTCAGGAAGCACTTATATTTACCTCAAGCTGCCCTATACTGAGAACACAGATATTAAACTCAATTCACAGATCTGGACCTTTGAAATTCTTTCCTATTGGTACTCAGTAACTCTTCTTTCTACTGTATCTTCATCCTGGATGATTTCCAATTTTCTGGGCAGGTGTGTGTTTATTATGAACATACTTCAGGGTAGAATCCCAAGGACTGATGGACAGATGACAAGGACAGGAGGCTTAGTATATGTTTCTAGGAACCCAGACCCTTTTGCTGCTGTAAGTCTTCATGTTGTTAACTAAAATCCAAGTTGGCTTCAGTTCATCATTAGAGAGAACCTGTATCTTTTGAAATTCTTTTTCTAATCTTAGGGCATTATGGTAGTATCAAAACTCTCAAACTATGAACTCTGTAGTGAGGAACTGAGATGGCAGACCTTTCTAATTCCTTGAGTCCAAAGTTCAAAGTATTAGTGTTTAAAATTAGTGTCTAATTATTTTTGTCATTTTAACCAAAGCATTATATATATAGGATATTTTTGTGTAGGCTATACATGATATATGGCACATATTGTGATGTATACTGTGCTGTTGTGGTGGAGGCACATTTGAATCTTGTTAAATTGTTCACATCTGATGTTAATGTCTGATCCCAGCCATATTCCTGTTTTATCACTTAGAAATCTGTCATTCTCTTACATATGAGGCATTGGTGGGATAAACCTTTTTCAATAAAAACTGACATTTCACTTTTAAGAAACTCAGTTGACCTAGGAAAGAACTCTCTGGGCATATCAGTGTAAAATTAGGGCAATAAATCAAAATGTAATATATAACATAAGTTCCAGCATCTTTCCCTGTCTTTTATTTTTTAAACCATTTTATGTTATTGTTGTTGTATTTTATTTTACATATCCATTGTTTGTTTCTTATATAACCCAACAACTTATTTCCTCTCCCCACTTCCAATTTTTACTTTATGAAATCATATGGTTGGATTCTGTTTTTTAATGAGCTAAAATTTCAAAACATTAATTTATAAACCATAGAAAAACAGATTCCACTTTATTTCTGAAAGGGAAAGGTAATTTGAAGTACCTGCTTCATTAATATTAATTCAAAATATAACCTGAATTGCTAATAAATGTCCATATTTCATAATGGAATTTTTCTAAAAATAGAATTATTTTTAATAAAATAGTTATAATTTGAAATATAATTAAAATAAACTCTTAAGAATTCATCTTGATGATGTAATCTAGAGAGACACACTAATAAAACTGTACCCCATAATTGCAGTAGTGTAACATCTTCAAGGGTCAGGTTTTCTTTGCTTCTAATATGTGAAGTGCCATTTTTTCCTTGAGCTCCTTTGTGTAATTATAAGCTCTCAATAAGCATTGCCATGTTTCTCCACTGAGTTTTTTAAAGTAGGATTTCAAACATAACTTTTTTTCCCTTACATTCTTCCTTTGTTTCTATTTGACAGTTTGAGTAGCTTTTAAATTTCTTTTATTATTTAGTCACTTGGGACAGTGAGCTCTCAGGATTCTTTTGAAAAGGTTAGGCCAGTTGTAGACAGCTGATACCAAGGCAGTCAGCATTGTCCAAGGGGGATCCTGTCTTGCTTTGATGTTCCTTGCATTATCAGTGTGCATTGCAAATATTTTTCCACTTCATGTCCTCCCAATAACTCCCAAGCTTTAGCACTAACACATTCCATGAGGTGTCTGTTTTCTATTTCATTGCTATTAAACAAACAAAGCAAGTTGATACATTATCACAGACTTTGAGTCCTTCTTGCATAGAATCTTTTTTTCCATTCTCCTGTTAAGCTCCATTAAGAGACTTATTCAGAGAAGATCTGCTGAAAAAAATGGCCTCAAATTTAAAACTCTCCAAATAAGACTCATTTGGGGTATTGACAATGATACACAAGAATAAAATAATGCTTTGTGAGGAACTTGAACTAAAATTTCTGGGTTGAGAGATTTTTTTTGAATGTGATCATCTGTGGTCATAATGTGGTCATCACTTGATTAGTTGAGACATGAGAGTGATGGTGATGGAAAAGATAAACCATCAGTGAAGGGAATCTGCTTGCCTGAGATCCCTGAAGGAGAGGGGCACCAGTAAGGTTTTTTTCCATTGATCCTTCTTTATATAGCCATAAAAAATTTCTGTTTAAAAAAAAATCTTGTAAACGTTTTTATATTAGAATTTTTCTCTTCTAGTGGATTTAATAAATGCGTATTTCATAGGCAGTGTTTTTTAATCCTGTGTCTTCACCCTGCCCCCATGCACAACAGTTTCCAACATAAAAATACTTCACAATATGAAAATACTCTAGATAGTTTTATGCTTTTATTGTAGAGAGAGATGAAAAATTTGGTGACTCCTAAATATAAAAAATATATATTTTACAGTGACTTCCTATTCCAAAGTGTGATTATAACAATGGACTGGATAGTATGGTAGATATTATTAAATAATTGTCTGTTTTCTTAAGTGCGATAAGGCATTTTGGTTAAATAGGAGAATATCCTTATTTCTGGGAGTTGCATGCTATAGTATTTACAAATGAAACATCATGTCTGTAACTTATTCTCATATGGTTCAGCTAAAACCAGAAAAAAAACAAGCATGTATGTGTTTTTACACACATATAAAACAAATGAAAGAGTGTTAAAAACTGGTAAATCTAGATGAACAGCTTATGGATTTTCACTGTATTATACTTGCACACTTCTGATAGATGTGAAATTTTTTTACATAAAAAATTGTGGGAATACTATAAATAATTATTCTTCCATATAGTATTCATTTTCTTGTTAGTATGGTTATATTAATTTGCTATAGTATTAGACTAGTTCATATGTTAAATATACCTTTAATATTGAATTTAAAAACATTTAAACATTAGTCATCAGTAAAGAAGTGCATTTTTCTCTCTTTGCTTTATGAGCTTATGATTCTAAAGCATTAGTTCAGGAAATTTCAAGTTCCTTTCATCAGCAAGTTATAGGTGATAATTTTTGGCAAGAAAGTAACTTCTAGCTGAGTATACACAGGATACTGCACAGATGCCATTATTTCTTTCTGAGTTTATCACTAAAATCCCCCCTTGTAGCAACCTTATGTACAGGCTTTGTTATTTAGTGGATTTCATTCCAGCTTTACATGGGATTCATATGTCATTTGATATCTAATGAGAAATATCTGCCCTTTTTCTTCCCTAATTGAATAAATGTTGGGGAAAGATGTGATTGTTCTGATTCTACTGGTTATTCTAATTATTATTACTCCTTTATAATCCATTTTGTCTCTCTAGACCAGAGTATTTAAATTGCTTCAACACCAAATTCAACAACAAACTTGGACTGATGAGGGCCCCCCATCTATGCGAGAGCTTCGATCAGTCTTGCTAGAATTTGCTTGCACCCATAGCCTGGAGAATTGTAGCACTGAAGCCATGAAGCTCTTTAATGATTGGATGGCATCCAATGGAACTCAAAGGTGAAGTGTATGTCCACTCAAGTGAATTCCCTTTACCTCACATAATACACTGAAAACAAATCTTCTTAACCTGGGTCGTAAATGTTATAAAACTGCATGTTAATGTAGAAGAGCTCTATGCACCTATGTTCTCAGACAAGACATTTTTAAAAATTTGGGTCAAATACACATAACATTTACCATCTTAACCTTTCATTAGAGTACAGTTGAATAGTGTTAGGTATACTCACATTGTAGTGCTCCAAATTCCAGAACTTTTCTCCTCTTACAAAACTGAAACTTTATACCCATTAAACAATTCTCCACCCCCTCCTCCCTAAAACCCCTGGAAATCACTTTTCTGCTTTCTGCTTCTGTAAGTTTGACTACAACAGATATGTGATGTAAGTGAAACCATACAGCATCTATCCTTTTTTATTTAGCATAATGTCTTCAAGGTTCACATGTGTTGTACCATGTGTCAGAGATTCCTTCCTTTTTTGAGGGCAAGTAATATTTTACTATATGCACTAATGCATTTGTTTATCCATTTATTCATGGATAAACCTTTGGATTGCTTCCACCTTTTTAACCATTGTGAGTAATACTGCCATGAACATAGGCACAAATCTCTTGGAGCCCTTGCTTTGAATTCATTTTGATATATATCCAGAAGTAGTAATGCTGGATCATAAAAATTCTATTTTTAATATTTTTTGAGGAACTGCTATGTTGTACCATTTTACATTCCCACCAAAATTACATAAATGTTCCAGTTTTTCCATATCATTGCCAATGTTATTTTCTGATTAAAAAAAGAAAGCTATTGCAGTACTAGAAATTGAACCCACAGCCTCACACATGCTAGGCAAACATTCTACCACTAAACTACAGTCCCAGTCCCTATTTTTTTTCATTTGATAGCAGCCATTCTTATGGGTGTGTGATGACAAAAAAAGTCTCCTTTAATTTAGAAACAAAACATGGCAGGTAGAGTGAGCAGTTAGTAGCAACACTTTGGGTGATGATCGATTGTCTCCAGGCTCTTTCTTGGGCATTTTGGAGAAAAGATTCAAGTATCAGATAGGAAGTTGGGAGTAGAGGATTCGAATAACTCTTCAAGTTTTGCCCATTTCAGAGATCTTGAAGAAACCAGACTGTGTTTCATCCTCTCTTCTTCTTATATCCTGCCCTTTGTACCCACTTCTGAATTTATACCATGAAACTTGCTACATGTTATTATTGCTGTACACTTTGAGATAGCCATGAGTTCCTGGAGGACAAGGGACTATTTCTCATCCTCTCTCCAGTTGCCTGCCTGATTCTTAATAGTGCTCGGTGAATAATTACTGTATTAAATTGCACTGTGAACTGGTGTTCTTCAGAGTCCTACTCATAGGAAAGCAGAAATCACTGAATTATCCTTTTTCTTAACTCTAAATTGTATAGTTAAGACTTTTGTGATTATTGCCTACCCTGCCCCACAACACATCACTGCCACTCAATACCATGTCCTTGTCTTTGTATTCAGAATGCTTTCTTATTTTTCTTATGTTTGATCATCTCTCTTACAGCCTGCCTACTGATGTCATGACTACTGTGTTCAAAGCTGGAGCAAAAACTGAGGAAGGCTGGTTATTCCTCTTAAGCAAGTACAAATCTATAGGCTCTGAAGCAGAGAAAAACAAAATACTTGAAGCTCTTGCCAGCTCAGAGGATGTATGGAAACTTCACTGGTATGAAGCTAGTCAAGAAATATTTGATATAAAGAAACCAAAAGATAAAAAAAAACACTTTGCTCCTCAGATGGAAGTTCATTTTCTTTGAGATCTCCCTCTTCCTTTTTGTCATAAGCCAGACCTGACTTGGGCAGTATGACAAAATTCTGCAGGTGCTGGGCTTCATCTTGGTGATTGAACCTTTACAGACAGGCAAAATATGCTTTATTCAGAGGTTGGAAATGTTAGGATCACAACCTTCTACCCTCCTCAAAAATGTCTCTTCCCTTTGGCATGTTTTAAACTACACAGTTAGTACCTCATTCTTTTGGGCCAAGGCATTTCTCTGTTCAAACTGTCATTTTAAAAATGCAGACACTTCAGAAAAAGATAATGTAGGGTGGGGCTTTAGCTCAGTGGCAGAGCCCTTGCCTAGCACATGTGAGGCACTGGGTTCAATCCTCAGCAGTGCCACATAAAAATAAATGAATAAAATAAAAGTATTCTGTCCATCTACAACAACAACAAAAAAAATTAAAATAGAAAAAGGTAATGTTTAAAAACTTAGAAGTTCTACCTTCATGTTAATTTATTCGTCAGACTTCTTTTTAACATCCAGCTGATGAAGACTTGCGAATGGGAATTTCACATGGGTGAAAGAAGGGCTGTAAGGAGGCCTCCTGATAGGAGGAACACACAATGGCAGGGTAGAGGAGCTCGAATCAAGAGAAGTGAGAAGGTATCTGGAGCATGGGGACACAGAAGCTGAAAGCCATACAAGAAGGATAGAAGGAGGCTCCTGGGTCTCCTTTCTTCTCTTATGTAATTTCATTGAGATAAATCCTAATGGTGTCACAGAGATGCCCTTAGCATGTGCTCACTTTCTACACAAGACACTGCAAATAGGCATTTTATTTAGAGCAGTGGCCAGCCTTTGACCTAAGCAGATAGAGAAAACTTTATTTCCTGGTTCACCACATGTGCAACTCCCATTATAAGGTGTTCAAATCATACCTAGAAGATGAACTAAAATGGAAGTCTTTCTCATGACCCTTCACATTAATTCTTATTTTCCATTCTCTCTGTTAATAGTAGCAGTTGTGGCCTACAGCTTGAGCATTTGTCATATGAAAAATTCTGCAAGAGAAGCACTCTGATGATGCTCATCCTGCATATGCATTCAGACATGCATGCATATTTAGCCACATTTTTTAAGTACTGGGAATTGAACCCAGGGGTGCTTTACCATTGAGCTAGATCCATAGCCTTTTGATTTTTTATTTTGATCTTGCTAAGTTGCTGAGGCTGGCCTCAACTTGCAATCCTGCCTTAGTCTTACAAGTCACTGGAATTATAAGTATGCACCAGCGTGCCCAACTTTAATCACATTTTTAACATAGATTTATCCTATATTCAATGTTTTCTTTTTGATTAGTAATCAATTATTGAGTTCATAAAGCCTACTTTTATTTGTTTTTATGGATACATGGTATTCATAAGTATGGCTGTATTATAATTTATTTAACCTGCCACATCTTGTTGGACGTTGAGGTTTTTTTGCCCTAAAAAATAGTGCCACATTCTTTTGGGAGGGTGTGTTTTCCTTACTCTCAGTAAACCGTATAGTATACTATCTAAGAACCACATACATTCCAAATGCTAGGCTTCAGTATTTGTCAGTTATAAATCATGGGGCAATTATATAACCTTAAGTTTCTTCAACTATAATGGAGATGGATAATAAATGCCTACTTCATAGCACTGTTGTGTGGAAGACTTACAGCATTATCTAGTACACAAAATCAATAAATGCTACCTACTAATTAGTATATAATGAAATGTACCTTCATTGTCAAATCATTTAAACAACCCAATTTTTAAAAGTAATTAAAGTATTTATCTGCCTATTCAAATAAAAAAATGTTTTTTGCTGGAAAGAAGTACCAGTCTCAAGAACTGTAATAAATTCTAACAGAATATATTCCCTAAATATCCTTCATATATCAAAAATTATTATGTGACAGTATATGTAAATGCCTATGTTGAGTTCATCCTTTATGTTTTAAAAATGGCAAGCTTTCACTCTTCGACTAATCCAATATTTATTTCCCTTGATTTGCTATCCACCTTTACTTAGGAAACCAATACTAATTTCAGTGGAGCCACCATGTCTTCATGAATGGTTATTTTGGAGATTAAATCTGTTTTGCTCTTCAGGTTAATGAAAAGTAGCCTTGATGGAGATATCATCCGAACACAAAAGTTGTCATTTATCATTAGAACAGTGGGCCGACGTTTTCCTGGACACTTATTGGCATGGGATTTTGTCAAGGAGAACTGGAATAAGCTTGTACAGAAGTAAGTTTCTCAGAGAATGACTGTTAGTGTTCTCAGACTCTATTTAGAAAAAAAAAAAACACCCAGAAATATTCACATTTATAAACATAATTCTGTAGCTAGAGTCATTTAACAGGGTATTCCATTCAAGTACTAATCAAAGCCAGCCATGCATGACACCAATCACTTAGACCAGCATGGCCACAGACTGTTTCAGAATAACAATTTATTTGGTGTGTTTAAAATTCCTCTCCATTGCCAAGGCATTATGAGAACTCACACCTAGCCAGATAACACATGCAGGTTTCTTTCCTTCTTTCTCTCTTTTAAAACATTGACATTTCTCTCTCTCTCTCTCTCTCTCTCTCTCTCTCTCTCTCTCTCTCTCTCTCTGTGTGTGTGTGTGTATGATCTTTGAAAAGATCAAATGGATTAAAATTCACAGGGCTATCCCAAACTCTCCTGGCGTAATCTGCCTACCTTCCTTTCCCCCTGGCAGCAAGCATATGTAGCCTATCCTTGACCCTAAGGTGCAGTTCCCAAGAGGCTTCACCTTGCCTGTTGCATTAAAACAAGTCCTTTGCACTCAGAAGCAGTGCTTTGCTTACGTGTAGCTGCCTCATTTTTCTCTCTTATGTTTGTGTTTCTTCAGGTTCCATCTTGGGTCCTATACCATACAAAGTATTGTTGCTGGATCTACTCACCTGTTTTCAACGAAGGCACATTTGTTTGAGGTTGGTTGTATAAAATGCTAATGGGGAGCCTATGTAGCTTTTCCCCTTAGTTTGCCTGGTATAAGTGAAATGGTATCTTTTCATGCTAATTCTCATCCCTTTTCTGTGTCTCCCTTCATCAGTGTTAATGATGCTGTAATGAGATTACCTGTAGAGGTTTGGATGTATGGCAAGGAGAAAGCATTCTGAATCCATCCTCAACACTATTCCCTTTTCTTTCTGATACAAATAATTTCAGTGGTAATAAAATTACTTTGAGAAATTCCATTCAAAAGGTGAATTTAAACTTTAGGTACCACTCATTGTTTCTTGAACATTTTTTAATATATATTTTAAGTTAGAAAAATTCATTCTTGTGGGAGTAAAGGAAATTCATTTTTAAAACCACTTCAGATATCACCATGCTTGGTTGAGAACTCCATGTAGATACCTTCAATGTTAAAGCACTTCTTTCTACTGCTTGCAAGGAATCAGCAGAGCCATTGATAAGTTAAAGCTCATTTTTAAAGGATGGTCAGATTGCTTGTCCTTTTCCTTTACAATTCTTCTATGTGGAACTTACAGGTCCAGGCATTCTTTGAAAATCAGTCGGAGACAACCTTTCGGCTTCGTTGTGTCCAGGAGGCCTTGGAAGTCATTCAGTTGAATATCCAATGGATGGAGAAGAATCTCAAAAATCTGTCTTGGTGGCTGTAGCATGCACAACTGCACCTCGTTTTGTCACCCATTTAGAGAGCTTGTGAATTTGGGCTCTGTTGCTTCTGCCAAAGCCAAGGTGAAGCCAAGACTGTGGCAGAGTTGTTTGCACTGTTAAAAGTTCTAGTTAGCTCAGGGCCCAACTGTCTTTTCTGAAATGTCTTTAGGCAGTATGTAGTTATTTATTACAAAATTATATTCATCTGTATGCCAACCATCTACAAAAACAATAAGTAATTTTTCTACCTTGAAGATATATGGGGAAAAAATCATTTTTGGAATTCTATCCTATTTCTCAGTGTCCAGGAAGTTATTGAGCCAGTGAAACAAGGAAAGGTCTGCTGTAAGACCCACCGTCTTTGCATGCTGCTGGTTTGGCAGCCCTTTGTTGCTTCTTGTTTTCAAATGCTATTGAAAGGTGGCTCAGAGCTGGCCTTGAAGGGTATGATAATGAAGATGGTGACACATGCAGCTGCAGAGAACTGATTTGTGTGCAGATCTACTTTTGATTTTAGGGTTTTGAGTAATCCTTTATTTTCTGAAAAAAGTTTAAATAATATCTCTATTATATTTTTTTTCCTGCACAATAGCTGGGTGCTACAGAATTTTTTAAAAATTTTTGTTGTTATTGAACAGATAAATAACCAGGACAAAAGGTTAAATTTTCCAAATATTTAATACTTTTTGTTTCATCTATATAGTGTTACCATAGGAAAATGTTCCAAACTGAGTTAGAGTTAATTATAATTATTTTTTTCATGAATGCCAATAATCCCCAAAATCTATACACTGTCATCTCTCCTGTCCTAGATAGGCCTTTTTTTCAGTTAAATATTTGTTTTAGATAAATATTTCTGTGTTTGTGACAAACAATCTGTTAGCACTGGTGTTTTTCATTGTGACTTGTATCTCTAGTACTAAGAATGCAATTTGCTTAAGTTGTCTTTTGACCTCACAGATCATAGATGCTTTCTCTCTAAATCACACCCATGTGTGGATTTTCATTTTATATGATACAGTGGCATATTAGAAGCATATTTTAAAATAGGGCCTTTGAGAAATTAAAAAATTTTATTTGAAGTTCACCATAGTACCTTAAAGAAACAAAGAGAATGTGGGATAGGAATAAATCAAATTCATGCTTAATATGGTGGGCTTTGAATTTTTTCCACTATTAAAAACAGTACTATACTTTGGTTGAAAAAAAAATCATATTCTTCTTTTATTATGGCCAAACTAACATTAAATGGAATGGCCAAGGAAAGACAGAATGAAAGAAAGAAATCCAAAATTATATGGCATTTTACTCCTGAAGGAGAAATACTGTACTTGAACTTTTTGAGCTATGCAGACTTATAAGTAGATTGTTATGTTTCCTTGATTCTTAGTAGAAAAGTTTTCTTCATAATAACTCTTGAGAACTTTATATTTTCTTTGAAAACAGCATATATGTACATAAAAAGGGGAATGACTTGTTTGTGAGCACTTAAAACACTCCACACAGACATTGGGAAAGGTCACCTTTTTTTATTCAGCAGATATGAAGTTAGGAAATGTGGGGTTGTGTACAAAGTTATATTTTATTTTATGAAAATATTTTTATATAACAAAATTTAAAAGGCTGGCAAGCTAAAAGATAGCCTGCTTTAATCCTAGTGTGTCTTTCTCAGTTTAGTCTTTTCTAAACATTGATTTGTTTTTGAAAATATTATGAGAATCACAGAATCATCTGAAGATGTCTTATTGAAACTGAGATGATTGTAGATCTTTATTCCCCTGTGCTTTGGTAAATGAACGATAATTTACTTGATATTTAAAGGTAGTATGTTTTTGTACTTTCAGAGTGAAGGAAAAAATACTAATCTTTTAGGGAATTTTTTGTTACTGGCATTTTACCATCTTATATTACTAAGTTCCAATTTGATACAGAGTTTAAAGTTTGCTACTTCTTGAAATCAGTTAAGATTCTTCAGTTTTATCTCCCCATCTTCACATTGCTCCTAAAATACATGTTAACTCTGCATTTGGCAAATCTTGTATTTAATTGATATAATTTTTTTCTGTGACTGTATGTGGGGTACAGGTGGTAGCGTGTTGTTGTAAGTAAAACCTTACCAAAACATGGGCTGAAAAAGAGGTAACTCATGATCCATTACTCTCCCTATACCCAAAGATGTTCATTCCCATGATACTGGATCCATACTATCTGCAATTTTATTTGTAGCCCTCACCTCAGTTTTTTTGTCATGTTAGTAGTCCTCATCTCTATTTTTCCCATGGAATTCCATAATTTTTAATGTTATGCTAACCCATTTATATGGGAATTAAGTCAGGAATACAAGGTTAAATGAGAGGTATAACTTATAGTTATTAATTATATTGGTAGTTTTCTGATCCCTTCCCCCCAGTTTTATGTTATGCATTGTATTTCTTGGAACGCAGAAGCACAGAAGTCGTAATATGCCTTCACATAAGCACACAGCTATCTGACATAATTGAGTACTTGTTGAAATGAGTATTCAGTTCATTGAAGAGAGACGATCTACTTGAATATACTATAAAAAGGCACATGCTACTAAATCATTAGGAAAGACAGAATTGGAAATCTAGAATTGTAGAAGGAAAACATGTACCTTGGAGACCTGAAAGGTTCAGAAAAAAGAAATTGGAGGAGTTCAGATTGTTCTGTTGTTATGAAGGGATTAGACATTATACTGCAAGTACTGGCAGCTTCCATCATAAGCTTATGCCTTCCTCCATCTTTTTTTTTTAAGTTTCTTTAAATGAAATTGTATTTGTTCTTGTTTCAGTGTTCACAAAATTACTATATCAGGCTCTATTTAACTTTTTTTTTTTTGCTATATGTTTTAATTTTATGGGACTTTAGCCACTGTTACTGTAGGAATAAAAATGCTCTCAGAAGAGTCCTGGGTATAGAGAGCAAATCAAGCTGCATCAGTATTTTTGGGCACCAATTAGAATCCTTTCTGAATATTGGGAAGTAAGAAGTCATATTAAGTGCTAAGTTGTTTAGAATACTGGTAGCCTGTTACTGAACAGGATTTTAAGAGTCTATGCAAACTAAAGCATTGGAACCAAAATTTGAAATTAGGCTGCTGAGCATTTACATGACTCCCTTGTGTTTCATGGGGCGACAGGGAAGGTACAATCCATCTCAGATGTATCATCACCATGGACAGCAGTTCCTGGACTGAGTGGCAAAATTAGACCTGGATTTTGTTACATAGGCCTAAGAATTGGGGTCATAGGTATGATGGAGCTCTTCTCACCTTTGCCTTTATTACTTTTGTTTTTATTGGAATTATCTCTTTTTTTAAAAAAAAAAAAAAAAGCTTTTTCCCCCCCTAACCCCCATTTGTATTTTTTAAAACTAAGGTATATTTTTTGCTTAGTTCTGCATTCTTTTATTTTGTGCTTTGTTCTCTTCATTGGCAAGTAAGTACCAAGTGAAAAGTGGAGGTCCAAAAAAGGATGATGAATCCCCTCATCTCCCTTTCCCATTTGCCTGCATGGCAATAGCTAGTAGAATAATTGATTTTTTTACATGGTTTGGGAAGATATATATACTTTTTAAATGTACATATGTGTTTTTCTGTTTTTATATCTTTCATCTTAAATATTTTGTCTTGATGAAAAATGAAATACTGTCCTATGAATCTCTCTCTCCCCTTCCCATATTACCTTTGTAACAATAGCTGCAGAGTAAGTATTTGGTTTCTTTTTCTGAAAGGAGATGGTAGTGCTGGAAGGAATGCAGAGTAGCTTCTTTTAAAAGTATGAACAAATGAACTAGGTACAGTGGCACACGCTTGCAATCCCAGCAATTTAGGAGGCAAAGGCAGGTGGCTTGCAAGTTCAGGTGATCCTGGGTAACTTAGTGAAACCCTGTCTCAAAATAAAAATTAAAAAGAACTGGGAGTCTAGCTCAGTGTTAGAGCACCTCTGGGTTCAATCCCGAGTAACTCCCCCCCCCCCAAAAAAAAAATGAGTACAAATGTTTTTGCTGCTATTTTGTGTTGTTTCATTTTGCACTTCATTTTTCTTTTTCATGGGCATGTCAATAAACTGTGGAGGTCCACAAGTATGGAATTGTCCCATTTACCTCTCTTATTGCCTGCATGGATAATAGCAGAGTGGTCATATTGGCTGTTGCTTGGATCTAGTCTTAGGGACTATTGTTCTTTCAAGTGTATATAAACATTATGCTACTTTTTATGCTTCGTTTTATAGGTCTTTGCATGGTTGCATATATGCTTAAAAATTGAGCTTTAGAATATAATAAATCTCTTGCTTTCCCTTTTCCTTTTTGTCTTGTTAGGCAGTAGCTAATAGAGTAGTTTGTTGTGTTTGCTGTGAATGGGATTTGCACTCAGTGTATATAAATGTGCTTGCTACTACAAGGTATTACTAATTCATTTTGTACTGTGTCCTCCTCAAGGACATGAAAAGACCTAGTGAAACATGGAGGTCCAGATGTGTATCAGTTGCCTCTTCTCTCCACCTCTTATGCCTGTTGGGCAGCAGCTAGAGTAGTTGTGGAGTGAGGTATTTGGAGGGTAGGGGAAAGGGGAAGTGCACTTAGTGTATATATGTGTTCTTACTGTTATCTTGTATTAATTCATTGGGTAACCAGACCGGAAGCTACCTAATGAACCATGGAGTTCCAGATGTATAACAATCTCCTCTTCTCCCTTTCCCTTACTGCCTGTTTGGGCAATACTTTTTAAAACAGTTTTGAGTTTTTTGAAGGTTTTTATGCTAGAGGAGTGAAAGTGGTTTTAAGGTAAGAGTATATACTTTAAACATGTATATAAATGCTTTTGCTGCTTTTTTATTATTTTTTCATTTCCTATCTTGTTCTTTGTGAAGAAAGTTGAGGATCTTTCTATGACAAATCTGCTCTTCTCTTTCATTGTATTATCTGTGTGGGCAATGCCTGGTAGTATAGGCAGTTAGTTGCAAGGCTTCTGTAGAAGCATATACTTTTTAAATGTATGTGCCTATTTTTACTTCTTTTTTGCAGTATTTTACTGACTCACAGTCCTTCAACTTGGACATGTGAGGTTCCTAGTGCACCACAGATTCTCTCCTCTTCTCCTTTTTCCTTTTTATTTGTGTGAACAATAATTCTAAAGTATTTTAAGTTTTTAGGGATGAATGGGGACTAAGGACAGGATATATACTATAAAACATGTCTGTGGGTTTTGTTACTGTATTGTGTTTTTTTATTTTGTGCCAGGTCCTTTGTGTGGACTTATAGGTATCTAATGAGACATGGAGGTCCGGATGTATGAAAATTTCCTCTTTTCCCCTTTCCTTATTGCCTCTGTGGGCAATAGTTGTAGAGTTGTAGATTTTTTTTTTTTTTTACTCCACACCCCAGAAGGATGGGGAATGTACTTTTATATCTGTATATAAATGTTTTTGCTCCTTTTTTATGTTATGCATTTTGTACCTAGACCTTTCTATGGATATTTAGGTACATAAAGAAAATTGAGGTTCATTCTATGAAAAATTATCCCTTCTCCCCTTCCCTTATTGCCTATATGGGCAATGACTAGTAGAGTAGTTGTTTAGTTGTGTTTTGTTTTTGGTTTGGGGTTTTTTGTTTGTTTTTGTTTTGGCAGGGCTGGGAATTTTATGAGTTTATATATAGATATATAGATATAGATGTATATTTTAATGTATATAAAAGTCTGCTAGTTTTAATTTTTTTCACTTCCAATCTAGTGTTTTGTTTGGACTTGTAGGTATCAAATATAATGAGAGACTCAGACCCAGAGGTATGATGTATCTTCCTTCTCTTTCCTTATCACCTGTGTGTACAGGTAGTAGTATCTAAGTACTGTAGGGCTTGTTTTGGTGTGTGTGTGTGTGTGTGTGTGTGTGTGTATGTTTTGTTTTGAGGTTTTTAATGGGGAATGAGCTTATTAAGAAAAAAGGCTAAATGTGTATATTTTTAATATGTAAATATTTTTTCACCTTTTTGAATCTTACCCTTTGCATGACTATTTAGATACTTAATGAACATTGAGATTGACTCTATGAAAAATATCCCACATACCCCATCCTTCATTGCCTGGTGGGCAGTGGTAGAATAGATATTTGTTTTCTTTGTTGGGGGG